TGACCTCAGGCTGCCTCCTGACCTTGACCTCAGGCTGCCTCCTGACCTTGGCCACAGGCTGCCTCCTGACCTTGACCTCAGGCTGCCTCCTGACCTTGACCTCAGGCTGCCTCCTGACCTTGACCTCAGGCTGCCTCCTGACCTTGACCTCAGGCTGCCTCCTGACCTTGACCACAGGCTGCCTCCTGACCTTGACCTCAGGCTGCCTCCTGACCTTGACCACAGGCTGCCTCCTGACCTTGACCTCAGGCTGCCTCCTGACTTTCCCAACCTCAAGACAGGTCACTTAGGACCTGGAATGTCAAAAAAAAACAACACACTTCACTAAAGGAATGTTCAAGGGAATGTATGTAACTGAAGAGACCACTACAGGCTAAGCTGTGCACATTCCATAGTCCTGCTTACAAAAGACTAACGGTAACCGAAAGCTGACGTTTATGTTTCCCCAAATACTAAAACACCAAACAATGAAAGAGAGAAAACACTCCTAAATGAAGCTGCCTGACATACCGCAAAACTAAAGATCACCTGCACATTGAACATTTGGGATTGTAAAGAAAAACCCAGATTCATTACATTCTTAATGAAGCATTTTTTAAAATCCTTGGCAACATAATATTTTACAACTTGTGAAATTCCGCCACATTCATGATTTCATCTTATCGCCAGAACTACCTCCGGAGCCGGAGGGGACAGGCCTTACTAACAATTAATTCCACATGACAGGCCAGGGGCTGCAGCTCCGGGAACGACGGGACTGAACAAACTCGCCCGAGGGCCAAGCTTCCCGGCCAAGTCTCCGGCCAGAAGCACTGAGGCCGGTTATCTTTACTATCCGCTGCGTACGGACATCCTGTCAGCCCAAAAGATGTGGAGGCGGCCTGAGTAACAGACACAGACATGACAGGGCTTTAAGATGGAAAAGAAGAAAACATCTGGCGGGTGACGTGGGACAGGTGAGGAGGGCAGTTAACAAAGACTTCGACTCACAGTCTAAGAAAACTATCTTTGAACTTCTAATTTCCAAGCCAAAAAAAACTTACTGGGAAAGGGGGCTTGCTAGGCTATCATAATCTTCTTATTTAAGAAAAAGCACCATCAGGTCTTTAAAGCAGGTGAACTAAGCTGTCTGGGCTCCGGGAAGAGATAGCGCCCCTCCTTCCGTGAAAGACCCTGGTCTTTGAATCCATAGGAAACCCAGGCCTGCTCCCAGTCACACACTCAGCGCCAGCTAAGCTTCAGTGGAGACAGTATCGTAATACCATCTAAGAAGCCACAAGGAAAAGCCAGTGGTCTCTAAAGGCCCTCCCAAAACAAGGTCCCTATAAACAAACCGCATGGAGCAAAGCACTTTTTTAAAAAATAAGAGAAGACAAAAATCCCACTAATTTAAGTGAAAATTGTCACTCAGTGGCATCACTACCTGACCAAACAGCTTTCATCTATTTTCAGTCCCTGTAATCAGCCAAGTAAGAGCAGCAGAGACAGGCATGCGGCTTTAAGAAAATCCAGCCCTGCCCTGCCCAGTTTTGCTCAGCAATCGTTGGCCCTCGGACCAAAGGGTCACGGGTTCAATTCCCGGTCAAGGGCTTGTACCTCAGTTGTGGGTTTGATCCCCAACCCTGGTCAGGGAACATGTGGGAGACAACCAATCCATGTGTCTTTCTCACATCGAGGTTTCTCTCTCTCTCCCCCCCCCCCCCTCCCTCCCTCTCTCTCTAAAAATCAATGAAAAAAATATCCTTGGGTGAGGATTAACAACAACAACAAAAATCAAGCCCTGTCCAGCCCATGTGGCTCAGTTGGTTGACCGTGGATCTATGAACCAGGAGGTCACGGTTTGACTCCAGGTCAGGGCACTTGCCCAGGTTGCAGGCTCGATCCCCAGTGTGTGGCGTGCAGGAGGCAGCCGACCCATGATTCTCTTGCATCATTGATGTTTCTATTTCTCTCTCCCTCTCCCTTCCTCTCTGACATCAATAAAAATATATTTTTTTAAAAAAAGAAAATACAGCCCACCAAATTCTCATCTTACCAAACAGATAAATTGGGAGATTAATATTTTAAAGGATTAATTACTATATTCCTTAGAATTGGAGCTTTCTAAGTCACTTAACATATGGTGCATTTTTTTTGCACATAATCATTTTCAACTGTTTTTAAACCATTACACAAAACTGCGTACACCTACTCAAGGCACTCCCCAAATTCCATTTATTTCAGACTCCCCAAATTAAAATCTCGTTAGAGACTAGGACATACAGAAGCTACAGTTGGCAGACCTCACACAACACGCAAAACACTGACGAAAGGCTCCTGGCAGGAGTTCTGCACCCAACTACTTCCTTAAGGGACCCATCAAACCAACGGGATATAGTACAGATGTTGCAAGTACAATTAATTATGAAGAATATGCAAGACAATGTTTTAAACAATTGCTTAAGCTTCCACCAAAGACCCTGGTCCTTCACTCTGAGACACAGTGCACCCCCTCTGGAAAGTGGAGGGAAAACAAAGTCCCCTTTAGGCGATCCATTTGCAAAGATCTCCGTGGTTTGGGCACTGCACCTCAGAGAACTTCCGCCCGCTGCACTTGGGTGGAAGAAGTAAAGGTCTGGGGCTCAGAGGCTCTCACCTCGTTTAAGACCCTCAACGGTGAGGAAGCTGAAAGGCAGGAGCAGAGCGACCTCATTCCAGGGCCAGAATGAGGCCCAATAGACTCTAATCAAGAACTCGACACTGCACCAAACACTAGGAAGTCATAGCAGATACTGATCTCCAGGCCCCTGCGGAGAGCTGAGGAAGGCGGATTCTAAATCACACACACCACCTGAGTGCCTGGTAGAGGAAAAAGCCCTCTCATTCAGATCCGCCTCCTGCCTGGCACGCCGTGCCCACCTCCGTCAGAGCACCTGCCAAGCAGTGCTGCCCCTAAGCATCGGTCCTTAGAGACCACGGCTCTCGGAGGCCCTTTCTGGGGAGGCAGCAGAGAGAAGGTGCCACCTGAACAGAGACCTCAAAAGGGAGGAAGCAGACCGGGCTGGCGTGGCTCAATGGTTGAGCTTCAACCTAGTAACCAGGAGGTCACGTTTCGATTCTGGGTGGGGGCATGTGCCCAGGTTGCTGGCTCGATCCCTGGGAGGGGGGTGGGGGGGAGCAGCTGATCAATGATTCTCTCTCATCATTGATGTCTCTATCTTTCCCTCTCCCTTCTTCTCTAAAATCAATTAAATATATTGGGGGGTGGGGGGAGAATGAGTGGAACGGGAGTGCCTGCAGCTGGGACGGAGGGATGGGAGGAGTTAAGGGCACAGATGGCAAGAAGGAAGGGCCTGCGAGCCGAGTTTGGACTTTACGGCTACAGCTGAGGCTGTGACATTTGCCTCCGCATTCATCTCGTTCACAGAGAGTTTCAGTTTGGCTGTGTGAGAACTTGGCGCTGACTTCCGTCCTGGGCCGCAGCACTCCGAGAGGGAAAGCCTGTCTTTGCCTCTGCCTCCCTCGGGGAAGGGAATCATGGCTGGGCCCTCGCCCGGTGTCCAGGAGTTTACGCGAAGGGTACGGGAGCGATTCCACCTGATGGAAGCAGCTGAGAGAGATACCCAGCCTGCAGGGCAGGCCGGGCCGGCAGCAGGCTGAAAGCCCAGCTTCCCCATCCACAACCTCGCCCTCGCGATCCCTTCCCCTTCGGAAACCTGACCTCTAACTGTAACTGCCTTGGCCTCCTTCCCTGGGTGTGGATTCGCCTCCCTGCCAGCCCGCCAAATGCTGGAGGGTTTCCCGCACTCCCCGGCGCTCAGGGCTGCAAAGTTAAATCTGCTTTTCCAGATTTCTTTTCTCCCCAATCCTAACGGAAGAAATCCAGAAGCGCGGGGCAGAGGGGCTGGGCTCCCTCCAATCGGAGCCGGCTCCTGCGCCCGCCTCTCGGAGCAGGAAACTCCCGAGGAGAGGAGCCGAAGACGGGCGGGCCTGGTGACAGCCCCGCGCCCCCAGGAACAGGCCCGAGGGGAGAGGGGCGGGTCCCCAGGAAGGAGGCCGCCTGCAGCGCTCTGGCTCCCGCTCATCCCGCAAATAAGACAATAAATAAAAGAGGGGCCTGGGCGGTGCTACCAGGCCAAATGCACCCCTGCCGCACCCCGAGGGCACCAGGACCCTCACAAGGACCCGTCAACACAGAGGTCCCCCCCCCACGCACGCATACACACATGCACACACGCGCGCGCACACATGCACACACATGCGGGGGGGTGGGCAGGCCCGGGTTCACGCTCCGACAAGCCGCGTGGGAAGGGAACGGGACAGAGCCCCCCAACTCGCAGGATGACAAGGGCACCCCCCGCGCGGGTCCACGCAAAGCCACCCTTGGGGACACACAAACAGCGTGACCGAGTCGGGGGCCAAGAAGGACCCCCCAACGATGGAGGGTCCCCGCAGTCGCCCTCAACGAGACGCAGTGAACCGGGGCCACTCGTGGGGGCCACGCGTGAGGGCCACGCAGAGCTACCTGCGGGCACACACAACAGGGAGCCGGCCACACCTGGGGGACTGGGTCCGAGCACCCAACTTTCCAGTGACCGGACCCCCGCGCGCGGCCCCTGGGTGCCGCCCCGAGGCCCGGACAATACCAGGGCGCCCGGCCCGCGACGGCCGGTCCTCCCCGTCCCCGTCCCCGCCCCGTGCCGACCCCGCTGTGGCTCAGGGCGGCGCCCGCCACCTCGACCGGCGACCCCGCGGCGCCCCGCTCAGACCGGCCACACCCGGCCCGGGACTCCCGTCCCCCCCCACCCCCCGCGGAACCTCTGCCGCCTGGGACCCACGACCGGTCCCGCGACCCCCGCCCTCCCGGCCCGGGAACCCGGCCGCCCGGGACCCCTGCCCGAATGGAACCCCCGTCCGGCCCCGAGTCCCCGCTCGGTCCTGGACCCCGCACCCGGCCGAGCAACCTCGCCCGCCCGTGAACCCTACTCTCCCGGGACCCCGCCCGCCGCCCGCAGCCTCACCTCAGGCCGCCGCCCGGGCTGCGCTCGCTCCTCACCGCCGGCGCCCGGGCCGAGGGGAACAGCACCCAGCGGCCCGCAGAGCCGCGGCCGCCGCAACAATGGATCCCAGGGCGGGGCCGCTCGGCCGGTCCGTCTCCGACTCGGGCCGGGGTTCGGGCTCGCGGAGCCGCCGCCGGCGCGAGGGAGCGGTGGACGCTGGCACCGCGCAGGCGCACTCCCCGCCCGCGGCCCGCGGCCCCGCCCCCGGCGGCGCCCGGGGTCCAGGGCCCGCCCCCCGACCAATGGGGAGAGAGATCCGCGGAGGGGGCGTGGTCTAGAGAAACAAAGGGAGGTGGGGTGGGGCGGGGCGGGGCTGCGGGGGCGGCACTGGTCCCGCGGGGAGGCCAGACCTAGCAGCTGGCCCATCCGCGGCCCAATCGGGGAGGGAGGCCAAGGTGAATGTCCGTTTGGAACCCGCTCAGCAGATTGCTCATCCCAAACCCAGAACGCAAACTTGAAGGCTTGGTCTGCCGAACATAAAGGGAAACTGAGGCCCAAGGAGCGAGACCGTCTGCTGCCCCGAGTCACCAAGTCCCATTCGCTCGTTCATCTTTTATTCATTCAGCCAACATTGTAGGGTTTGTCGGAGGTGCATCAGGAGAGGGAGGCGAAGGCTCCGTCCTTGGAGGAGCGCCTTCGAGCAGGTCCAGGAGCTCTCGGGGTCACTTCAACGCCTGAAAAGGGAGCCAGGAGCCCAGCTGCCACCCTCTCCTGCGGGCCACCTTTTGTGGTTCTGCTCTTCCTACCGAAACGTCCTCCTTTCCCCGCCTGGCACCCCATATGTCCTGACACCACCCATCACCTTTAACCTCTGTCCTCATCTCCGCGGTATTTGCTCTCTAGGCATCATGTGGGCCCCCGCTGGTTTTTCCCTGTTATCAGCAGCTCCCCCAGTCTCCAGGATCCCCCCTTCTCTGCCCAACCTCTGCGTGTTGGGGTGACCCATGTCTCGGCCAGATGCCCTCCTATTCACCAGGGATGCTCTTACTGGAACTCTCCCTCCAGGTTTTAAACACACGGTGGTCACTGCCAGATCCTTATCCCCAGCCCAGACCTCTCCCACCCGGCTGCATGCCCAGGAGGCATCTCACACCTGCCAGGGCCAAAACAAAGAGCTTTATTCAGTGCCCCTAACCTGCTGCTCCACATTCCTCCCCCGCTCAGTCAATGCTCTCCATCCACAGAGCGGCTCAGGCTCCAGCGTGGCCCCTCTGCAGTCCCAGGGCCTCACCCACCGTGCCTGTCACAGCAGCTGCAGCTGCCTCTGAAGTGTGAGCTCGAGTGAGGACAACAGGGGTCTGCCTCCGGGTTAGAGTCATCACTGTGCCAGAACAGGGCCAGGCACCCTGCAGGCACTCGGAATGCTGGCTGGCTGGCTGGCTGGCTGACTGGATAAGTGGGTGGATGGATGGACGGATATATGTGTAAGGTCTTGACAGTGGCTGGAGCAAACCCCATCCCCATCTCCCTGCGCGCACGCACACACATACACACACACATGCACGCGCACACATACACACACACCTGAAAACCTGGCTCCTGATCTGATTTGCCAACAAACTCCTGCAGGAACATAAGCAGCTCCTACCCTCTCAGCCAGGCCCGCAGTGTGATTGGGGTGTGCTCAGGGGTCAGGAAAACGCATCTCGGCACATTTTAGCTGAGTCCTCTGCTCAGGGCACAACAGGCATCCCTGAACGTTTCAGCAGCCATGTCCTCACCTGGAGCCGTGACTGGGTCAGGTCCACTTCCAAGCTCACTCAGGTTGGGGCCAGATTTCACTTCCGAGGGGCTGTGGGCCGGAGCCGGAGGCTGTCCTCAGGGGCTACAGAGCCTCATAGTGTGGACGTGAGTGCTTCAAAGGATGTAAGTAGAACCTCTCTGCCTAGTGTGCAGGATGAATTCTTAGTAATGTAACCTGACCGTGGGACTGACAGCCCATTGCCTCTGCCACACTGATTGGCTAGAACAGTTTCTCAACCTGTGGGTGGCGGCCCCTTTGGGGGTCGAACGACCCTTTCACAGGGGTCGCCTAAGACCATCGGAAAACACATATATAATTACATATTGTTTTTGTGATTAATCACTATGCTTTAATGATGTTCAATTTGTAACAATGAAATTGGGGGTCACCATGACATGAGGAACTGTATTAAAGGGTCACGGCATTAGGAAGGTTGAGAACCACTAGGCTAGAAGCTGTCCCAGGCTCCACCTGCACTCATGCATGCGGTGCTGGGGGGATCAAATGTGCCAAAGGCCGACTCCCAGAAACTGAGTTAAGACATGAGTGCATTGCCCTGGTCGGCTTGGCTCAGTGGATAGAGCGTCGGCCTGTGGACTGAAGGGTCCCAGGTTCGATTCCTGGTCAGGGCACATGCCTGGGTTCTGGGCTTGATCCCCAGTAGGGGGCGTGCAGGAGGCAGTCAATCAATGATTCTCTCTCATCATTGAGGTTTCTATCTCTCTCTCCCTTTCCCTTCCTCTCTGAAATCAATGAAAATATATGTTTTCAGCTGCTATGTTTGTGGTTGTTTGTCATGAAACAATAAAAAAAAATGAATACAACAACCTAGGTCCCCTCTCCATTACATACATTCATAGCACCCTGGACTTTTTTTCTGGCAATGTTGTCACAATCATACTTACTTGTTTAAAATTTCTCTCTTGCGCCCTAGCCAGTTTGGCTCAGTGGATAGAGGGTCAGCCTGCAGACTGAAGGGTCCTGGGTTCGATTCCAGTCAAGGGCACGTACCTCGGTTGCAGGTTCTTCCCAGCCTGGGCCCTGGTAAGGGTGTGTGCAGGAGGCAACCAATCGATGTGTTTCACTTACATCAATGTTTCTGTCTTTCCCTCTCTCTTCCACTCCCTCTAAAAAAATCAATGGGAAAATATCTTCTGGTGAGGATAAATAAATACATAAATAAAATAAATTAATTAAATCTCTCTCTGGCCCCTAGCATGAACGCCCCATGAAAGTGGAAATGGAGTCTGTCTGGCTCATCACTGGCCTCCAAAAGCCCAGCACCATTTTGTTCTGGGGCCATTGGTGGGTGGCTGGCCCTTCTCTCCCCCCCAGCCCGCTTTCCCTGGCCGAGTTCCCCTATAGAGACCCAAAGAGCTTCTGGCTTCCCAGCTTCCCCTGGAGCCGGAGGTGGTCATGTGACACGGTCCTGGCCTGGGACACAGAGTGGGAGTCGCTGAAAGGCTACTGGCCGCGGTGCCCTGGGGCCCATTTGGCCCAGACCACAAAGAGCTGAGTGTTTATTGTTCAGGAATTTTGCAAGTCAGTTGTTCAACACAGTCGGTCATTACTTAACAATTAAGTTATACAAACTTACAATGAAAAATTATATTAAAAGCAAAGAAAATACTCAGAACGACTTCCTAATTATTTTACCACCACTTTTAACGATCTGCTTTGAAAAATTCTGCAACCGCGGTAACTGCATGATGGAAATGCTCCACGATGGGGTGCTGCGGGGGCCTCCCCCCGCGAACACAGCCACCAGCGTCATGTTGAAATCGGGGCGGCAGGAGCGTTTACACCACAGAAATTGGCAGCTGCTGCGGGTCGGGACTCTTCTCCTTCCTCCCACCCCCAGGACGCCAGGAGCTGGAGCCTGACAGCACAGCTCGCCGTCTAGGGAAGACGCTGCTCTCCGGGGCAGGGAACAGACGCCGCTGACCCTGCCTTTGCTCGGCACCAGGGACTCCTACCTGGAACGCACACGTGATGCCCGGAGCTGGAGCCGCCGTCTCGCAACCGCGAGCACCGTCGGAATCAGAGAGATTCTGACTTAAAAATCCAAGTGCTTCCTTTGTTTAGGCCCCGTTAGTCCACTTTCCTGTGACTTCCAGAATTCCGACCTGACGAGTGTAGGCATCCCACAAAGTCTGTGAATGAATAACCCCGCCCGCTGCTCCTTCCTCAGCCGTGTCTCCGACTTGGGCTTGCATCCACCAGGGAGCCAGCCCGGCAGGTGCCCCAGGGATGAGGACGCTTTTCCGTGTAGGAACTGAAATTCGGAGACCTCTTTGTAAAGGCAGAACAGTCCCTCCTGGCCCCAGTCTTTCCAATGCCGTGTCCGTTCGATGGGAAATAAACCAGGGTTTAGTGATCTAAGAGTGGGACCGGCACTTTCTGGGGGGACTGGTGACCTCGTCTGACACTGTGAAGGGGGAGGGGGTGGCTTAGTGCCCCGAGGCCTCCTCCCCGACTCTCCCAGTGACATTTCTCTTTAGAAAAAAATAAATTACAAGCTGCGTATAGGCCCAGGGGAGCTGCCCTCCACGACACTCCCTGAAGTCTTCCTGGATTCGGGGGCTCGGGGGCGGGGGCGGAGGCAGAGGTCAGCCACTTGGGGGCCTGTGGGAAATCCAGGTCCGGTTTGGGATGGGACGTCAGCTCACCGATGCGACGAAAGCGCGCGTGCCTGCTGCAGTCACCTGTTGCTATGTAACCAAGGCCCCCAAACCCAGCGGCTTGAACAACTGAGGTTTATTGTCTCACAGCAGTGGTTCTCAACCTTCTGGCCCTTTAAATACAGATCCTCATGTTGTGACCCAACCATACAATTATTTCCGCTGCTACTTCATCACTGTCATGTTGCTACTGTGATGAATCCTCATGTAAATATCTGACATGCAGGATGGTCTTAGGCGACCCCTGTGAAAGGGTCGTTCGACCGCCAAAGGGGTCGCGACCCACAGGTTGAGAACCGCTGATAAACCATGGGTGGGCCCTGGCCAGTGTGGCTCAGTTGCTTGGGCGTCAACCAAAATGTTGCTGGTCCGATTGGGGCTGGATCCTTGGCCGGGGCGTGCAGGAGGCAGCTAATGGGTGTTCTGCGCTCGCAGGGATGTTTCTTTCTCTCCTTCCTTTCACTCTCTGAACATCAGCGGGAAAAACATCCTTGGGAAAAGCACTGCTCACCACAGCGCGGGCCTTCTCTCCTCGGACACACCGGTGCCTGCGTTTCCCAGACCCCTTTGCAGTCGGGTGGGGCCACGGGACAAGTTCTGGCCAACGGGCCTCCTGAGCCAGCCCAGGACTTGCTGGTTTGTCGCACGCACCCTCTCCCTCCACCGCAGCAAACTCTGGGGTTTGGGTTGGGATTTAAGTAGCTTGGAACATACAGCCCCTGGGGGAGAAGGGTCCAGAAAGGAGGCTGCAGGCTCTGACACCTCCCTGCCCATCTGCCCTGGGGCTCCTGACATCCCAGGCTGGGGACGATTCGGGAAGGTGGGTGCCATTGGCAGACGCGAAGGTTGGCGTGCAGAACTGAGCCAGATGTGGCTGGTGCAGGCCCTTAGCACCTGGGCAAGCGGGGCTCCGCGCACCCCGAGCTCTGGGGCAGGGACTGTGCCTGGCGCCTCCACACCCAGGGCAGTGCCGGGCACAGACAGGCGCTGGGCACAAGCGCTCTAAATTGACCTCGTACCCCGGGCACCCAGGGCACACTCATGGCTGGAGGGTGCGGAGATCCCAGGGCTCCTGGGGGCGCCAGGGCCCAGGGCAGGGCAGCCACACCGTCTAACCTGCAGTGTTAGCCACATTGGCTCCTGAAACTTGGACATGTACACCCTAGCTTCCCAGTCACACGGCCACACGTGTGCTACCGTATTGGACAGCGTGGGTACGGAAGTCCCATCATCACAGGGCGTCCTCGGGCCGAGCTGTTCTGGAAGCACTGAGGCCTTGAGAAGCCTCGGGGCGAGCAGTGTCCACCACCAACGACCCCAGTGGCATCCCCAGGTCAGGGCACTGGCCTGGGACCGGCAGCCTCCTGGGTGTGCCGCCGGGAGAGGGCAGCGTCAATGACCAGATAAAGAAGAACCTGGTGGCACCCGGCAGGTGTGAGGAGACAAGTAGCCCTGACCGGTTTGGCTCAGTGGTTAGAGCGTCGGCCTGTGGACTGAAGGGTCCCGGGTTCGATTCCGGTCAAGGGCATGTACCTGGGTTGCGGGCACATCCCCAGTGGGGAGTGTGCAGGAGGCAGCTGATCGATGTTTCTCTCTCATCGATGTTTCTAACTCTCTATCCCTCTCCCCTCCTCTCTGTAAAAAAATCAATAAAATATATTAAAAAAAAAAAAGAGAGAGAGAGAGAGAGAGAGAGAGAGACAAACAGCGTGGCTGTGACAGGAGAGACAGACACCAGGACCCCACGTGGTAGGGTGGTGAGTGGGGCTGTAGAGGGTAGCCACTGGGAGCCTGGCATGATCCTGTGTATGTTTTCAAATGTCGCTATAGCCCTGGCCGGGGTGGTTCAGGGGATAGAGCGTCGGCCTGCGGACTGGAGGGTCCTGGGTTTGATTCCTGTCAGGGCACATGCCAGGTTGCTGGCTTGATCCCCAGTGGGGGGGCGTGCAGAAGGCAGCCGATCCATGATTCTCTGTCATCACTGATGTTTCTCTCTCTCCCTCCCCTTCTCCCTTCCTCTCTGAAATCAATAAACATATATTAAAAAAGTCACCTAGAGCCCGGCCGAGCCACGCCCTGGAGCAAGCAGGGGTCCCAGGCCTGTGGCCTCCCCCAATCCCACCCTCCGGTCCGGCCCCTAATGGCATCCCCCACGCTATGCCCACGCCCAGTGCCAGCTCTCGGGGCGACCCTCCACTCACCATGAGGGAAGGGCCTGGCCCGCTAGGAAGGGCCGCGTGTCTAAGAAGCGCTTGGCACTCACAGGTAGAACACATCGTCCTTTATTTCCCAGGTTCCCGGCCCCACATCGCACGCATGAGACGGGGATTTCCAGTCACTTGGGCTCAGCTCGCTAAGTGGACGGAAGCGCGTTAGGTGCTAGAACTTCCCTTCCCTGCCGGGCCGGGCTGGCGCGGAGCCGGGCGCCACAGCCTGGCATGTGCGGGGCTGGGAGGAAGCTGAGCGAGGCTGACTCACGGGCGGGGCGGCCAGGACACACGGGATGCGGCTCCACAGGACGCCGGGAACGGACTCGGGCGACGCCTTGCTGGTTCCCACTGGCCTCTCGAGGCACTTCACAAACACGGCGGCAGGGACCGCACCAGCCCACCCCTGGTGACAGCCCGCGCGTCTCAGCGCGACCACAGGCCTCTGCCCAGGCTCTGCCAACCGGCCGATCGGACAGTGTCGCAGCCTCTGCGCCGAGGGCCGGTGTCCGCCTCAGGACCACCCACGCGGCATGGCTCCGGGACACAGGTGCGTGTTTCATGGTGGGGCGGGGGGGCGCCGCTGGCCACGTCACCAAAAAGCCACACGGGGCGCCGGGCCGAGTCCACGGAAGTCCTATTCCGGGGCCCTGGCCGGCGGGGAGGTGGATCCGCCCCGAGACGTGGAGAATAACAGCGAGGACATCGCGTGGACGCAGACTTCACACGCACGTACACACAGCACTGGGGCCGGGAGGGGGGGGCGGAGGGGGGGGCTCTGCCTTTCAGGGGACCCGTGTGACAGGCACGAAAGAAAGAGAAGCAAAAAGAAAACAGACGAGGAGTCCATGTACTAGGGACACGGAGAACGGAGACCACAGGGCGCGGAGGGGCGGGGCTGAGGCCGGAGCCCCCAGCGGGCTGCAAACTAAACTCTCCATAATATCGCCTCAGGGCCCACAGGCTACACTTCTTAGTAAAATAAAGCTTTGTGTTACTTTAAAGATATCCTTTAGGCATCGGGGTGACGTAGGAGAACCGTGCGCTTGAGGGCCCGGAGGAGGGCCCTGTGCCACCACCAGCGGCCACACTCGTCACCCCACACTTGGCACCGCCCTGGGCCCCCGGGCTGTGGGCACGAGCCAGTGCCCTCCGGGGCTAGCGGACACAGGCGCCCTGTGATGGTGTCCGGGGCTGTCCCTGACAAGCCCCCTCAGATCCCAGGTCCTGGTCCCCTCCGTGCCCCCAGGGCGGGGAGGGCGGGCTGCTGTCTAATCGCCCTTCCCTCCCCGGGGACAGCCACTCTGCAGCGTCTCGCTGGGGCCCAGCACAGCGGGGAAGGGGCGGTGCAAAGCCAGGCGCCAGGGCCCTAAACTACAGGCAGGATCTCAGGTGCACGGGGTGCTGTGGGACCTGCTCCCGCCCCACCCTCGGCCCCCTGCCCGCCCAGGCGCCCGCCCGCCCTGTGGGCACAGAGGAGCTGGAGGCAGCGCAACAGGAGGGAGTGCGTGGTGCCGCGGCGCCGGCTCTGTGGGCTCGGCCTCGGCGCGGGGGTGGGTGCGGCCTCAGAACAGCAGGGCCTTCTTCTTGAGGTCGTTCCTCTTCCAGAGCGCCAGGCGGTCGAACTCCTCCACGCTCATCCCGAACACCTCCTGGAACTCCGCGGGCGACAGGTGTCTCTTCAAAGAAAAGGAAACCCCAGGGGAGCGTGAGCACCTCAGCACGTGCCGCTGGGCTGGGCCGCCAGAGGCAGGGCTGCTGCGCATGGGGCTGCCCTCGGCTGCGTGGGCCTCGGTCCCAGGTCCCCCTGCCGCCCTGTCACGCCCGCCCTGCTGCCGAGAGCCCGGAGGAAAGACACTCGGTCACGCAGCTCCCACTGGGAGCCCAGGTCACAGCGCACCGGGGACTGGGACGCCCTCCTGCCCCGAAGCAGCTGGGCCAGGGACTAGCGCACAGGCTCACGGTGCTCCGTGCCCACGGTGCCGTCTGAGGAGGGGCAGGGGGTTTACTGTGGCCCATTTCACAGACAAGGAGGCTGAGGCGTGAAGAGTGAGCAACGAAGCCCGGACCTGATTTTGAACCCTCCCTGTCCCCCAACCTCTGCATCCTGAGTCACAAAAGTCCCTCCTAATCGAATTTGAGCCCAGAGTTCTCAGTGCACGTGGACACACACACACACACACAGAGACACACACACACAGTCACAGACACAGTCACAGAGACACCCTCACAGTCATATAGTCACACACAGTCACAGACACTCACACACAATCACACACACAGTCACAGACACAGTCACAGACACACACACAGTCATATAGTCACACACAGTCACAGACACTCACACACAGTCACTCACACAGTCACAGACACAGTCACAGACACACACACAGTCATATAGTCACACACAGTCACAGACACTCACACACAGTCACTCACACAGTCACAGAAACACTCACACAGTCACAGAGACACCCACACAGTCATATAGTCACACACAGTCACAGAGACACACATACAGTCATATAGTCACACACAGTCACAGAGACACACACAGTCACACACACAAGTCATATAGTCACACACACAGTCACAGAGCACACACATACACACACAGAAACACACACACAGTTAGAGAGACACACATAGTCATAGTCACACACAGTCACAGACACAGTCACAGAGAGACACACACAGTCACACACACCAGTCACACATACACAGACACACACAGTCATAGAGACACACAAATAGACACAGACACGCACATACATGGACATACACAGAGACACACAACAGGAACACACACGGAGACGCCCAGGCACATACCCCGCCCCAGCAGGCTGGCCTCGGTCTGTGCCGGGAAGGGCCACGGGCCTGTGCTGCGAACTTGAAGGAGCAGCAGGAAGATGGATCCCGAGCTGCCGGGCAGGGCGCTGTGGTGGGGCTTCCTGGAGGCGGAGGAAGCCGCTCCGCCCACAGAGACGGGGCCTGTCATTGCAGACAGCAGCGCCGTGTCCCGGCCACATCATAGTCCTCCCGGGGACAGTGGAGACATGAAAGGGCGGGAGAAAGGGGCATGGTTCCCACGGGCTCAGCAAGCACCCACTGGGTGTGTGCGACGCAGAGACCCCGGCCTGGGTGCCGCTGGGGGCGGTTCACACGTATGAACAAGAGCAAGGCCTCTGTCCTGGCACCTGAGAACAGCCGTGGGAGGGGCAGCTCAGGAAGCAGAGCCAGACCTCGGAGAGGCAGAGGTGCCCTCCTTTCCTGCCCTGGGGGGTCTACGGCGCCCGCTCAGGGGTGGGCTGGCGAGCCAGGGCCAGCCGGGACCCTTAGTGATCCTTACCCTGCCGATGGGGGTGCTCCCCCACCTGCCCCCACCTGCAGGAGCCACTCCACAGTGGGGAAGGCAGGTGCGGCCCGCACGGAGGGAGGGCGGGTGCTGCAGGGGGTCCCTGCTGAGCTGGCAGCCCTGCAGGCCCGTCACAACGACGGGGTGCTGGTCAGATCTGAGAAGCGCGAGGCCCTGAAACCTACCAGAACAGGCTCAGTGGCACAGGCCTCCCAGAGCAGCCGAGGGAAGCGAGGTTCGGGGCCGTGGGGCTAAGATCAGGTCCCCGGCCAGCAGGGGCCCGCCCTGGCCTGGTCCTGGCCCCTCATCCGTAAGGACAGAGCTGGGCCTGCGGGCTGTGCGCTGGGGAGGGTCAGTGAGGAGGGACCTGTTCCCCCCTCCGGCTCCGGCTCTGTGGTCCCGTGTCCGCCTCACCTGGCCGGGTGCCCTGCCTCCCGCTGGGAGGGGTGAGGGGCCCTGCCCGTGGCTGCTGGGAAACTGGCTCGAGATAAACTCGCTCACGGTCCTGAGGCAGAGTCAGCCCTGCTCCTTCCAGGGCTCTTGTCGCCGCCCCATGTGTTCGCTGTAGCAGCAGGACACAGGTGACCCCTGACCCCTGGCTCCTGAAGGCTCCCCAGGAGGAGGGCGGCCCTGCCCTCTCACCCCCTTGCGATTCTCACCAAGGCCAGGCACAGCCCAGCGCCTTCCTGAGCCAGCAGGAAGGAAGCCCAGGGCGTGGTGCCCTTGCAGAGGGGCTGGCCAGCCTCATTCTGGGATGGCCCACTCCCGGGGTGCGCCGGCCCCCATGGCATGGCCTGCAGGCTTTGCTGGGGAGTCTGCCTACAGGTGACCCTCCAGGGCAGTGTCCTGCAAAGACCTCCAACCCAGGACCACACAGCCCAGGATTCCCTTCTTGGCTCCGCCCCTGTGCAGCTCGCTCCACCCCCTGAAGCTGGCTCCGCCCCCTTGCCCCTGGCTCCACCCCCACGCAGCTGCACTGAGGGCCTGGAGCTCAGTTGTGATCTCTGAAAACAGCCAGTGGGAGGGGCAGCTCAGGAAACAGAGGCGGAGGTGGGAATGAGCAGGTTGGCCTGTGACCCATTCTTCCTCTGCCTGGCCCTCCAGCCCCTCCTCACCTGCCAGGCAACTCCTCCTCACTCCTCAGACCTGGGCGGATGCCAGCCCCGCCCCAGGCTCCCAGAGCCCTCAGTTTCAGAGTTGGGAGAAGAGGCCCCTGGCACTGGGTTACAGAACGTTCTACAAACAGACAGGACGGTGCAGTCGCATCCACAGCAGAGGCGGTGGGAGACGTAAAGGAGTGGGGGGTGGGGGGTGAGCTTTGATTATTTGCACCTTTGCTTTAAATACAATTGACTCCGCCCAAGTTTACGTAACTAACTTTTCTGCAATGGCTGGGTCTCACACCAGCATGAAGGGTTCCTAACATTCAACAGTGGGAGCAGCTCCAACCGCCGCTGAACTTGCCCTGGGCCACGGTGCCCAGGGAGGACAGGAACAGGGCACCCCTGTGCCCAGGGACAGGTGGGGTGCTCGGAGGCACGCGGCTTGGAGGAGGACTGCAGGGCATGGGAGGGCTGTGGCCCAGCATGCTCCGCTCTCTCCTCCCTTCACCTGTGGAGCAGGTCCGGGGACACTGACCCTAGCAGACCAGGCCCCCGCCCCCACAGAGCTCCCGCTGGAGGGGGTCAGAAAGCAGGCAAGTCCGCTGCGGGTTGCGGGACCAGGGAAGACCCGGAAGGCTTTGCCGGGGGGACACCCTGTGGCCGGAGAAGTGAATCTCTGGCTGAACTTTGCGGCCTGGAACAAATGGCAAAGGTTTCCTGAAACCACCACCCGTTAACGACTTAACCTCTGGCCCCCAGCAAGCGCTCAGTACAGGAATGTTAGTGGCAACCACAGGGAACGCACGGCGCTGTGCCAGCCCTCTGCCACCTCTGGCTTCTGGAACATGCCAGGCTCTTTGCCACGCCAGGGCCTGCGATGCACTTTCCCCCACTCCACACAGTGGTTCCTCCTCATCCCAGTCCTATAGATCCCCATGCAAAGGTCCCCTCCTCCAGGGGCCCCTCCGGGATTGCCCCAGCCAAGCAGGCCCTCAATCCCTGCAGCCCTCTCAGGCCCCGAGAGCCCTGGGTGCTGGCGCAGGCCCATCCCTCAGGACCCTGTCTGTGCATCACCATCGTCCACCAGGGTCTCTTCGGACCAGTCGGGTGAGTTCAAACAAAGCAGGCTCTTCTACAGCTGCCCGGCCTCCTGTCTCAGGCACATTCCACAGCTTGGGCTCCTACGCTCCAGCGAACCCCCTGTGCGGTCAGTCAGCCCCGTCCCCGCCAGGAAAGCACAGGGCAGCGCTGTGAGCCGCCTCTGCCCTCCCGGGTCAGCCCTGCCCCGCGCTGCCCGGCACCCAGCCCCGCACTGCCCGGCACCCAGGAAGGAAGGTCTGGGCTGTTGAACCGAGGAGGACCGACTGGAGTGACTCCCAGGGACACGGCCCCCGCCCCCAGCAGACAAGAAGCGCCTTTCCCACGGCACCCTTTCCTGTCCCATGGCCACACGCTATGTGAGTCTGGCCAGGCCTTGGCGCCCAGCGGCCAGCAAACCTCGCCTCGGGGCTGCTGGGAGGCCTGCAGCAGACGTGGCTCACATCTGCAACCAGCTGACGGAGGAAAGGTGACCCTCCAGCCCTGGCCGGTGTGGCTCAGTTGGTTGGGCGTCCTCCCACCCACCGAAAGGTTGCTGGTTCGATTCCCAGTCAGGGCACAAGCCCAGGTTTCGAGTAGGGGCGTACAGGAGGCAGCCGATCGTCATTTCTCTCTCACTTCGATGTGTGGATGAAAAGGGGCCACAGGCCGCCCTAGCCGGTGTGGCTCAGTGGATAGAGCATCGGCCTGTGGACTGACGGGTCCCAGGTTTGATTCCAGTCAGGGCACATGCCCAGATTGCAGGCTCAATCCCCAGTGTGGGGCGTGCAGGAGGCAGTTGTACAATGATTCCCTCTCACCACTGATGCTTCTCTCTCTTTCCCTCTCTCTTCCTCTCTGAAATCAATAAAAATATATATTTTTTAACAAAAGAAAGAAAGAAAAGGGGCCACATGCTGACCTGACCAGCTCAGGAGAGGCCTGCATGGAGGTCTTGCCAACTCAGAGACCTCAAATAACCCGAACAGGATGGATGGTCTGAAATGAAAGCTTTAACTAAAAGCAGTTCATGGTGGGTAGTCCAGTCCTAGCCGAATCTTCACAAAGATCATCTCTGACCTTAACTGAGCTTTTTTTTTTTGCACCTATGATAACACACCTCGGGAATGTCAAGGTGGTGTAACTTCCCTTCTTCCAGGTCCCTCAGGGCACAGCCAATGCACCAGGACCCGGACCACAATTCCCCCATTGTCATTGTTATCCTATCATCGGCATGGGTCTATCATTTCACTCTATCCAATCCCAGAGGCTTCCCCGACTCGCTTTCTCCCGCCCCTCTGGCCGTCACCATGGATTTCCTGTAACCACCTGCGGCTCCTCCTCTGACTCTAATGTATAAACGGCGGAAACGCCATTCTCCGGCTGTCCCAACCCACTGAGTCCCTGCTCCCCAGCGACTGCTGACGCTCCGGCTCAAAGGGGCTCACAGAATTTCTCCCCCGGCTCGAATGTTTCTCAGGTTAACAGATGTCTCTCTCTCTCTCGTTCTCCCTTCTTCTCTCTCTAAAAACCAATAAAAAATCTTAAAAAAAAAAGACGTCCTTCCATAACGTGGTGGCGGGCAGGGGAAGGGCCTCATCCAGCCCACGGAGGCCTCGGAGCAAACACGCGGCTTCGGGGAGAGAGATTCTGCCTCAAAGAGCCATTGCCTGGTGCCCCCCCCCCCCCCACCACCACCACCAACTGGGCTGAGATGTCAGGCTTGCCAGGCCCCGCTCCATGCGCCAATTCTGTAAGCACGTTTCTTAGTACAGGCCTATGTCTGCCTGCATCTGTCCGGCCGTCCACCCGCCACCTGCCTGCCTCCTGCGGCCCATGCCCCGAGGACCCTGGCTGGCAGTTCCCTGCCTAAAGGACAGGATGTCTGCAGGGTGCTGGGCAGGGGAGGCCTGGAAGGGGTGTTAGCAATTCCTTTTGCAGAGAGCAGCAGGGCGTGGGGCCCCGAGTGACACAGCCCTCAGCAGGCAGCCGCTCTGCCTCCCAGAAGCCGGGGCCCAGGAGGGGCCTCCAGCACTCCCGCCTCGAGGCCCGCAGCCGCCGCTCTGAGCGTGAAACCGTGTGTGCCCAGTGCCCAGTGCCCGGAGCAGCCGGGGCAGCGTCGGCGGTGGGACAAGGTTTGCTCCCTAACCGGACGGGTAGAGCCTCAGAGCGCCACTTGCTCCCGGGATTGTGCATCCGGGAGCGAGCTCGTTCTCCTCCCCGTGGCCGAGCCCCGTGGCCCACGCTGCCTCTGCACACGCCCCTGGCCTGCCATGAAGTGCCCAGCAAGCCTGGCGCTCGGCCAGCCGCAGCCCATCCCGCGGAAAGCTTTCTCTCACCCGCTGTCACCCACGTGCCTCTCGTCAGGTTGGGAAAGTGGGGACGACATGGGCCAAGTCACCGAGCTGGACACGCTGCCCCCGCCTGGGCTTGCTCAGGGCCGGTGTCCAGTGACGGCCTCTCAACAACAGATACACGCTCACACCACCCAGCAGCACAGGCAGCCACGCCCCGACAGGTGAGGAGGCAGGCTCAGAGAGGGGGAGTCACTCGCCCACAGTCACACAGCCGGACCCAGGCCATCCCGACCCTAAGAATGCCGCCCTGGACGGCGAGAGGCTGCCCCACGAACACAATGGTGAGGTGTCTCGGCATTGCCAGCCCAGGTGCAGGGCGTGGCCTCAGAGGAGAGGGACTTGGGTCTGTCTGGGGACAGGCAAGGCTCCCTCCCCTCCAACCGGAAGCTCCCGGCACAGCAGACCCTCAGAGGGTCACTGCCAAAGGCAGGAAGGGTCTGAGCTGCGCCGAGGCGCGAGGCCCTCAGGGCGGGGCCGGGCCCCAGCCCCTTCAGGACTGAGCGGTGGGATCGCTGGGAGGGCGGTAAACTGGGGAGGGGGCCTGCTGGTCTCACTCTGCCCACTGGGGTCACACGATTTATCTGCCCGCTTCCCATGTGGTCACTGTCCACAGTAGGGGATGTCCCAGAGCCCCTAAAGTCACCAGCATTCACTGAGCACCTACCTACTAAGTGCTGGCAGGGGCCTCCGTGGCGACTTTCGCTCTGAGTGTCCTGAATTCCCGCTGAGTGTCCTGGGCCAGAGCGTCAATCATTGTCAGAGTCCCGGCTCCTGGCGCTCTGCCCTGTGACCACTGCGCCCACCACCTGTCCTGACAGCCTGGAGTCTCACCACAACCATCGCCCATTGCCAAGGCGGCCACCTCGACCCCCAAATACTGCTGGGCCCCGCCCACTTCCTGCCTCAGCACTGCCACCACACTGTCCATCATTTCTTGCTCAGGCGACTGAATTCCTTCCTAAACAGGCTCTCTGCACCCACACGGCCAATCCAGGCCTCCCAATGCAGCCCCGGGCGTCGCTTTACATTACAGCCCTAACCATTTAACCCCAACTTACAAGCCACTGCTTCGCCCAGCCAGGGTGGCGCCATGGCTGAGTGTCGGCCCATGAACCAAGAGGTCATCGGTGAGCAACATACACTGATGAACAAAAACAGACCCTGAGACAGAGAAGCATCGATCAGACCGCCAAACCTCAGCGGGAAGGTAGGGGAGGGGTGGGGCAAAGGGGGAGAGATCAGCCAAAGGTCTTGTATGCAAGCATATAGGCCTAACCAATGGACACAGACACCAGGGGGGTGAGGGCATGAGTGGGGGGTGGGGGGGCAATGGGGGGATAGGGACACATATGTAATACGTTAATCAATAAAAAAAATTTTAAAAAGAGAAGGAAATAAAACTACCCAATACTTAAAAAAAAAGAGGTCATCGGTTCGATTCCTGATCCAGGCACTTGCCCGGCGTGGAGGCTGGATCTCAGTAGGGGGCATGCAGGAGGCAGCTTATGAATGTTTCTCTCTCATCAATGTTTCTATCTCTCTCCCCCTCTCTCTCTAAAGAATCAATAAAAACATATGTGTTATGTTTTTTTAAATCCACGCTTCTAGCCAAAACCAAACTGCTTAACATGGCCCAGGGCCCTGTAAGACCTGGCCCATCCTTAGGGGCCCCCCTGCTCAAGCGTAGCCACCTCAGCCTCCTCACCATTCCTCCTCAAACAACCCTGCTTCCTCCTGCCCCAGGGCCTTTGCACGTACCGTGCACTCTTCCTGGAATCCTCTGCTCCTGCCATCCCTCGGCTTACACTCACACATGCAGGCACACTTTCTGCACCGTGAACTCTGGCCTGTTTTCAACCAACCAACCTCCCCTCTAGAGCCCTTCTCTTGGCGTATAATTCTGCGCACTCATTGGGGTCATCAGCTGACTGACGTCTGCCTCCCCCCGCCAGACCGGGGGTGGGGGTGGAGCTCCTGCTGGTGTGCGCGCCCTGCACCCGGGACCCACTCAGTGCCTGGCACAAGCTCACCCCCTGGCTGTGATGCCCAGCGGAGCATGCGGTGGGGTGGACAGCAGCCTGACAGAGGCGTCCTCCTTCCTGACCCTAGAGGTGCAGGGGCCGCCAGCTGACCACCCAGACCGCCCAACCTCCGGCTGGCACACAGCCAGCCCAGCCCAGGCACAGGGCTGGTCCTACACGGACTCAGCCAGTGGGGCGCGAGCAGAAGCAATGCCTGGCCTCTGGGGCCCTCCCATGTGCAGGACACGGACACAGAGCCGCCACGCAGCTGTTTAAAGGGGTGGGAGGCCACATGAGCTGGCGTGGAACCGTTCACGACAAGTTTAAAAGAGACAGGCAGGTGTCAGCTGCGTGGCCCGCGAGCCTGCTCACCCCGCACCAGTCAGTGGCCGGTGCCTGTGCAGGAAGCGACGCTGGGCCGGAGGGAGGACCCGGTGGGGACCCTGGGGGACACTTACGTTCTTTGTCTTTTTCTGGAGTTTTACAAGCGTGACGAATTGTTTTTATACTAAAAACAAAGCTCCCTTCTCTGAAATGAAAACACTGGGAGCCCTCCTCTCCTGGGGTACGAGGCCGCCCCGAGCCCCTCCGGCCGCATCCCAGCCCCAAGCCCCGAGGACTGCGGGTGGCCCCGGGGGGTAACTTTCCAATGTGCCAGCTGGCTCAGCTGAGGCCGGGGGAGAGCGGTGGAGACGCACCCTGGGCGCGAGCTCGCAGGTCTGCGATGAAACCCATTCTCCTGTCCTCAGAGTTTTTGTTGTTGTTGCTGTTAATCCTCACCAAGGATATTTTTCTATTAGTTTTTAGAGAGAGTGGAAGGCGGGGGGAGGCAGAGAGAGAGAAACATCGATGTGAGAGAGAGAGACACATCGACTGGTTGCCTCCCACACGAGCCCAACCAGGGCTGGGGATGGAGCCTGCAACCGAGGAACGTGCCCTTGACTGGAATCGAACCCGGGACCCTTCGGTCCGAGGGCTGACGCTCTGTCCACTAGGCCGGAGTTTTTTAAAGTGAAATATCTGCACCTTTCATTACGTACTGTAGTGCAAGGAGGTGGGAGGGGAATAATTTAAAGTGACCCCAGTCTCAAGGGGAAGAAGCCAGCCAGCCGGCTCGGCCCCACAGCCACGCTGTGCCTGGGGGCAGCCTGCTGAGCTCTGAGCCCCTCTGTGGAGAGTGACCGCCCGTAGGGCCCGCCCCCTCCAGGCGGCTCTTGACCCCAGCTCTGGCCAGCAGCCCCTTTCAGAGCAGGGACATTGTCCTGGGGACGAGACCACACAATGAACAAGGAGGAGCCACAGTGCTTCCCTGCAGAGAAGGGCCAGGCGGAGGCTGCCAGGGATCGGCTCGAGGCCACGGGGTGGGCGCCTCGAAGGGGAGGGGCGCTGGGCTCCAGCCTGCTCTGTGCACACCGCTCTCCGGGTGCCTCCCGTCCCAGTGCTCCCGGCCCCGGGGCCTGGCAGGCCCTGTCCTGTCCTCCCTTCTCTGCTGCTGACAGTCCTGTCCCTCCTCTAAGGGCCAGCTCAGCGCTTCCTCCTCAGCCGGGATGTGGCAGCGTCCACGGCCCCATCGCTCCCCTCCCGGCAGCCGCCTGAGTGACCGCCTGGGCCGGCAATCTGGCAGGGTCTGGCGCTGGCTGGACACACAGTAGGCTTCATATGCTCCCAGCACCTACTGTGTGCCCAGCCCTAGGCACAGATGAGCTTTCAGGAATCTCCAGACCCCTCACACCCAGTGAAATCTCATGCAGAGGCCCCGGAACATTCCTGCCCGGCGCAGGCGGTGAGCCCAGCCCAGGCGGTGAGCCCCATTACCTGAACCCCACCGTCCGGCTGCCGATTCCTTTGTAGGGTGACTGTGAGGACTGAGTTAAGTCCTGCACGTGGGCCACTTTGGACCTGGCTCATCGTAGGTGCTCAGCAAAGTCAGCTCTTCCAGGCAAGGATATTACCGGTTCCTACGCTGTGCTGCCCCCTGTGGGCCTTTAAGCAGCACAGCGGGCCCTTGACCAGGGGCTTTCCCTGCGTGGCCTTGTTCTGAGGACGGTCTCATTAACGACCAGTCAGCCCCTGCATCCCTGGGCTGCGCAGCCGCAGATCCAACCCCCACAATCGACCCAAAGCAGATCTTCAGTCCTCGTCGGGAGCCCTCGGAGCCGCGGGCTGACTGTGTGCTGTTCTGCACCATTTTACAGGAGGGGCTTGAGCGCCTGCTGGGGGTCCTGGAACCCACCCCCTGGACACAGTGGTTACGTTTTGGGGGGTCAACCGTTACCCTCGGATTCCGACTGTGCTGGGGGTCAGTGCCCTTCCCCACGCTGTTCGAGGGTTGACGGTACTTGCTCCCCCGGTCAGTGTGCTATCCTAGACCCGGGGAGGCTGTGGCCGGGACGATTCCCACTCTCCCTCCTCGGGGGAGGCACAGTATGACGAGTCAGGCGCTGCTCCCAGCGCTCCTGCCCGACCACAACCAGCTGGGCCTCTGACGGCCGCCTTTGCTGGGCAGCAGACCCGCCCGCGTGTCCCGCCACGAAGCAGCGCGGGTCCTGGGCACCGGGCTCTCGCCGGGCCCGCCCCGCCCCGCCCCGCCCGGTGGGGACACTCGGGCGATGAGTGTGGGGAGGCCCCTCAGAGTCCCCCAGTGGGAGGACCCCCGCCCCGAGCCCCTCTCACCTCCAGTCTCGTCCGGTCCACGTCTTTGGGCAGTTTCACGCGGATCCGGTTTGTGACGATGAGGGCGTCATAGGGATAGACCTGTGGGGGAGGCGGCAGGTTGGCTTCAGCGGACACGCACGCGGGGATGAGGGGGGGCCGGGCCCGCGGGCTGGCTGGGTGGGGAGGAAGGCACATACTTGCGTCTGCACGGGACACACATCTCAAAGGAAAAGCACAACAAAAGGAACTTTTAACCTGGGCAGGCGCGGCAGGAAGAGGTCAGAGGTCAGCGAGGCGGCGGCCCCTTACCTTGTACTCTGTAAGAGAAAGAGCAGAGACCACAGGGCCGGTGAGAAAGCGCAGGAACCCATCCCAGAGGTGAAAGCACCCTCCCACCCCCGCCCTGCAGCCAGCTGGGCCGTGCGGCCCGTCCCCGCAGCGGCGGCCCTGGAGCCACAGGCGGAGGAGGGAGCTGCCCGTCCCAGGGAGAAACCAAGAGCCGGAGGCGGGCAGGAGGCTGGAGCCAGACTGGGAGCTGGACGCGGCACTGTGTCCCTGCGGCGCTGTCTCCCCTGCTGGGCCGAGCCGCCTGAGAATGCTGCCTGCCTCAGTTTACCCCGTGAGTGGGCCTTCTGGGTAGGAAGACTCAGAGCCTCCCGGGGCCTAAGCCCCCAGCCTCTAACTTTCTTCCTTCTTAACCCTTTCGTGCCTCCTGGAAGCTCCTGAGCTCCGGACACAGTGCTGGGAGGCGCCCCTGGATTAGAAGGTCTTGTTACGCAGTGAGATTGGGGGGCGGGCGGAGGCTCCGTGAGCGCCCAGCACCCACAGAGGCAGACGCTGGGACCCCGGCCGCAGGCCTGTCTCGGGGAGAGTCCCTGGCAGGGGCCCAGGCGAGGAGAGCCGGCCCCTGAATTTTTCAACGCGACCCATGGGATTCTAGACGTGCCAGCTGTGAGCCAGGGACCTGGAGTGCCACTTGGAGGGAGCAGCTTCGACACCTCCATCTCCACCCTGCAGTGCCATCCCGCCCGCGAGAGTGAGCCCCCCACCGGTCGCACTCGGGGTGACAGGGCGAGGGAGCAATGCCGGCCCGTGCAGGCCCAGGCCGGCTCCCAGCGGGCAGAGCCTCCGCCAGGCACCTGCCACGTGACCAGGGTCCCTGCCAACCTCCTGCAGGCAGCCCGCCTGGCTGAAGCGCCACGCGAGCGAGGTGGGAGGGTGGCCCAGCTCCGTCGTGGGGGGCCTTTCCCTGTGACTTGCTCCCTCGCTGCCCCTGGTTTCCCTGGAGGTTGGGCTGGCCTGGCCCTGACAGGGGACAGTCATTCCCACACTGATCCCTCCCCCCAAGTGACCAGAGTGACAGACAAGTCAGCGCAGGGGCTGATGGGAGAGCAGAGCACCTCGGCAACGTCAGAAAGGAGTAAGCTGACCCTCGAGGGGGAGGCGGGCAGCGAGCACCCGGGCTCCCCTCACTGCGCCAGGCTTGGCGCCCCTGCCGGCGGCCTGGCGGGGGAGGGTGGTTAGAACGAAGTCTGTGGGACCGTGTTAGTGGTCCCCGCCCCAGCCAGAGACCTAGGGTCCCCGCTCCGTGTACCTCGCGTGCCCCAGCTGGCATCCGGGTCTGCTCCACAGGGCGCCAGATTGGCGTTCTGGAAGAGAAAGAGAGAGGGCAGCAGGAGGCAGGCCGGGGTGGGAGGGTCGGATCACCGAGCCTGCAGATGCTGCAGTGGAGGCCCCCACTCCCCGGGGTGCCGCCCTCACCCGGCGGCTCTGCTCCAGGCTGCTGCCGCCTCCCGGCCTGTGCCAACCCTGCCCGTCCAGGCAGCTCCTGCTGAACGGCCGTAAGGACGCCCCGGGGCCTGGCCCCTGAGCCCTGCAGCTGGCACAACCCGGGGGTGGCTCAGCGTGGAAGCTGTTCCCGGGGCCTTAGCCCCCTCCAGACCCCGCTGTCCCCAGAGCTCGGTGGCCGGTGTCTGCACAGCCGCTGGGACAGGGCCCAGCACGTCGCGAGCACTCCACACAGAGGCTGCACGGGACCGAGCCCCGCCACCCATCTCAGGTGGTGCCCTCACCTGCCCTCGCTCTGCCATTTCACTGCCTCCCACCACTCATGTCTGGGATCCTCTCCCTCTGCCCACCCGCAGAAGCCACCCTGCAGACCCCGGAAGGTTAGGCCCGGGGGCACCGAGCCCGCGGGGTTCCCCGCCCCAGCTGGCACAGCTCTTCTCAACTGGGTTCAATTCCAAAGGAGAGGGACCTGCAGGTGCCAGGGAGGCAATAGGGCTTCCAGCCCTACCTCACGCAGAGGCGGGAGTGAGGGCCCCACCGCCGGGCGAAAGGCACAAAGGCCTCAGAGGGCAGCCAGGCCAAAGTCCTTCAGCCCAGAGGGGAAACTGAGGCAGCAAGGGGGAGAACACGTGAAGTGCAGGGCCGGAGCCGGTCTCTGTAAATGTGTGATATTTTGTTCATCGTGGGTTTGTCTGCATTCATCTGGATTTTTAAAACCATCGCATTAAAACACGTTGGTCTTGATTACTGAGTCTTTTCGTACGTGCCTCACAGGCCGACCTCCTCCCGGCCCTGGAGTCCCCGCCGGCTCTGCGCCCACCCGGTGACGGACTCTCTGTGACAGAGGGAGTCTCCTGAGTTGCAAGAACCCTTTTTGGAGACATTTTCTCAGGACACTGACAAGCACCCCAGGTGCACCTCCTCCTGGGACAAAGCCGGGCACACCTGCCAGCCACTTGCCACCTCCCCTCTGGGACACGGAATGGAAAGGCCGCCCTCTAGTGGCCACTGTCCCGCACCACAGGCCATCAAAGCTGGCCGCCAGGGCCACCGGGGCAGCTGGAACCCCTTCCTGGGGCCACAACCAGCTTCCTGCGCTCTGTCAGGTTCTGAGATGAGACAGAGCCTCCCGGGAGGAAGGGTAGGGCATCGCCCGGGGCAGAGGGGAGCAGAGGGTCAGCCAGAGCTGCCAGCTGGGCCTGGGGTCTTCCTGCCCTCCCTGGCAGGAGAGCTCCGTGGCCAGGGGAACCCCCAGCAGCTGCCCTGGTGGGCTCCCCGCGGTCCTCAGCAGAGGGTCACCGGAGGTAAAGCGGCCATCGCTGCCCTCTCCCACTTGCCTGGTGTGACTGTGTCAGCTGCTCTGACAGCCGCGTTCACTAATCTCCGTGGCACCCCTAGGAGGTGGGCATCGTTGCTACCATTTTATGGACGAGGCTCAGAGAGGTGAAGCAACTTGCCCAAGACCGCACAGCGCACGCATGGCGCTGCAAAGCATTTCACTCGAGTTTTACTTTTCAAGGATTGCTAGTAGCAGGAGCGGAGTGGTGGCCATTCACACTGGCCATGCACTTTCCTCCCTAGAGTCCCGTTGGCTTCCGCCACTCCACGCAGCAGCCGCTGGTCTGGAGGTGAGGAGGGGTAGGGTCTTGCTGTTGTAATACCTCCTCGTGTGGGAACCACGCTGCAGAGCGTATGAGAGTTTACAGCCCTGATGTGCTCACAGGAGTCTTAAGAGGTGAGGACACACTCGGAAAGACTCAGAAATGTCCGTCACTTGCCCAGGCACCCCCCACCCCCCGCCAGAACTTGGGGCGCCTGGTGCTGATGCACGTGCTCCGTCCAGCTTTCCAGCCGGAAAACATCGGCTTCTTCAACGGGTGAAGGCGTTCCTCAGTCGCACACATGAACACGGTTAGACATGCTCCGTGGACACGTGAACACCTGCCATGCTTCTCACGTGCCTAGTAGGGGCTTGCCGTCCGCGTTATTCAACTGCCCTGTGTGCTTTTTATTACTTTTCACTAGCTCTGATTTCAAACCGCCTGCCAGGGTGGCTGCCACAGCGACCAATGGCCTTGCATGGTACCGAGCTGGGTGAGTTTAGCTTTGTGAGTATTAAACCTGCTTTATAAATTGCGCCTGTGCCCTGGGGTCCCCTCTCTATACTGCGAATTCCTAGTGGACACTCCGCCTTCTCGGAGGAGAATTCAGTCTGTTCGTAGTTAGCACCGGGGTTTTCCAGACGGGACTCCCCTGGGGCTCCCACCGGGATCTGCCGGTGGCCAGGGGCCCTTCTCTGAAGAACAGGCCGGGGGGGGGGGGGGCAGGAGGCACGTGTCCCAGAAGAGCCGGCAGCGGGCAGTGACTTCTCTACTCACTGCGGAGCTGAGGGCACCCGCAGCCTCGGGCTGTGAGGCAGGCTGGGCCTCGGGACATTGTAAGGAGCTCGGGGACAAGCAGGGGTGGCCCCTGTGACACACCCCTCAGAGCAGGAATGGGACCCGTGTGCCTCCCGATGACTCAGTCCCCTTCCTCCCAGCGACGGGAGCCACACGGCTGTGCCCGCCACCAGGAGGCTTGGACCTGAGCCCCATGGTTTTCGGCAACGAGGCTCTCTGGTGGGTTCGATAGGCTTTCTCTGTGGTTTCCCCTCTCTTCCCTCCCCCGGCCCCCTTCCCCCTCTTCCCCTTCTCCCCCTCCCCCTCCCCTCCCCTCTCCCCCTCCTTTCCTCCCTCTCTTCCCTCAGGACTTCCTGTTAGCAGGTTTGGTCACTGCACCTGTGCTTTTGGGTTAGGCCACCCAGAGACCTTTCTGGACGTAAAAAAACCCAAAACCCCTCAGGAAACAACTTAGGGACCCGGGAGCCCTGCAGGCCTTCGATCGAAGTGGGTGCACGAGGGCCCCTGGGGGCCTGCGGGGAGGGTGACTGGAAGGCGGGACAGCCAAAGGTCATGACCTGCCTCCCCCGAGACACAGGCAGGCGAGCCCGTGAGTCTTGGGAAGAGAACAGAAGGAGGGAAAGTGTCGCAGGGAAAGAGGACAGGAGCGAGGCACCGTCACAGTCACGGTCCCCGCGGAGCAACGGCAAAGTCCTCTCCACGCGACGACAGGCCCGACGCACACGCAGCCACACCGCCCGCCCCACCGTCCCCCCCGAGGGCCAGCGGGCGCCCAGCGGGCGCCCAGCGGGTGCCCAGCGGGGCTCCGAGTTCTGCTCCAGAGCGGATGGGGACCTCCTCCCCCCCCAGGGTCAGGACCAGCCGTCCCCCAGCCCTTTGAGGGGGTGGCGGCCAAGGCCAGCGGCTGGGAGGCCTCCATGGGGCTGGGAGCCAAGGCAGGCGCCCGGGAGGAGGCAGCACGGGGACCCGAGGCAAGAAGAACAGGGAGACGGCCTCTCTGAACTCCCTTCTGAAGAAGGAGGGGACGTGGGCTCCGGGGGGGTGGGGGGGGAGGACCCCCGGCCCGCAGCCCCCGAGGCAGAGGAAGCTGCCAGGTGAGCAGAGAGCACCTGGACCACACCCCCCTCCCTCGGGACCCTGGCAGCTTCCGGGGGGACACCGTCTGCATTCTCACCCCCCACTTTCCCCGTGGACACGAAGGGTGGGCAGACCCCAAGGAGGAAATCGAAATGCAGGCGGCATGTACGACCCGGCCAGACAGACGGCAGCGTCCACAGGGCCGGGGCAGACGGAGAGGGCGAGGGATGCCCGCACTCGGGGCCGTGTCCCTGTCCGAGGCCGTGTCCCAGGGCCTGGCCCGGCTGTGAGACCCCGGGGAGGCCGAGGAGCTGTCCCGGGCCCCACTCATCGCGAGGCGGCCACGGAGCAGCCACGGAGCAGCCACGAGGCTGAATCGCCTTGTTTAGGGACCACCATCCCACAGGCAGAGCCTCCTGGGGCCTGGCATACGTGCATGCATGCATGTGTGCATGTGCGTGCATATGTGCAGGTGTGTACGTGCACATGTTCATGTGTGTGCATATGTTCATGTATGTGCATATGTTCACGTGTGTGTGCGCATGCATATGTGTGTGCGTGCACACGTATGGTCACTGGTGTCATCACGCACACCCGGGCGGGGGTCCTCACTGTGGGAAGAGGGTCAGAAGTGGCATCTCTTCGCCAGGGTCTTGCCCTTCGTGGGGACAGTCAGGCAGCAAGCCACTGGAGTGCCCCCTGGATGTCCTGAGACGGGACACGGGGGCACAGCCGGGGAGAGCTGCTGTGTGGCCTCCAGTGACACCCAGGTGCCAATGACACCTGCCGTGGGGGCAAAGGTGCTGGTGATGGCAGGAGGGGCCGGGCCCCAGGGAAGGAAGAGGGTCCTTGGCTCACATTTAAGGTCCTTTTAGGTTCTAGGTCACAGGAGAAGGACGGAGGTGCCCCCCACCATCCTGGCCTGACACACTGAGGACTCCCGGGGCCGGGGGGCTCTCCCGGGAAGGAGGAAGGGGTGTTGCCGGTTCTGTCTGGTCTGGAGAAGCAGCAGGCGGGCCTGTGGAGCAGCAGGCACAGGCAGGCGAGCGAGCGGGGTCCCGGGGCCCCCCTCCTAGCTGTGCTGTCAGGACGCTGTGGGGACCGCTCGGGCTCACAGCGAGGTTAGTACACTGCGGGCCGGGGAGGGGGTACCTACCCGGTGGTCCAAGCCATTCTTCCCGTGTCCTGGGAGAGGGTCAGATTTGGAATAGGGGAATCCTGAAACAGACACAGCACAGCCGTCACGCACGCAGCAGGCGCGGCCCCGCGGAGGGAGGCCAGGGTGTGGGCCGGCAGGGGACACAGAAGGGCCCGAGGATCACGCCCTGCCTCCATCCTGACCTCTGTCCCCAGGGACTGAGGAGGAAGCCGGGGGGGAGGGGGTGTCCCCGAGCCAGCCCAGGACACCAGGGCACCTCAGGCCTGACCCCACCCAGGCGGGCACTGTGTTCTGCCCACAGGGGTCAGTCTGGGCCGCCTGGAGCCGGAGCGGCAGGAGGCCCACCACCAACCGAAGGGCCTGCAGACCATTTCATTACAAACAAACCCTCAGCTCTTTGCAACGGGGCATTTCACGTTGAAGCCCTAATTCCTAGCGGCTCTCAAAGCCTGAGACACGGGGTCCTGCCGCCCATGGGAAGCCCACCCCTGGTCCACCTGTGGCTCACACCGGCGGCCGCGTCTGCAGAGTGGAGCGGGGCTCCCGGCAGTGCCCTCCTGCGCAGACGTGAGCGAGGCCCGCGTCCTGGCTCCCTGGAGAGGCTGGGTCCCCACCCGGAAGCACCTCCGGAGGCCTGGCCCAAGCTGTCAGTCCTCCCATAGCCTGTGGGCCCCAAGCACAGAGCCCACGTCTGCTTCTCTGGGGGTCCTGGCCCCCGTCCCGGGCAGCACCCAGCTACTCAGGCAACGATGCTCAGGGCCAAAGGCCAGCGCCCTGGGAGCCGCCGGGCTGCCCACGAGGGCTCAGAGGGGATCAGATCCCGCCCCTGGGTGTTCAGGCCCCACCCACCCCCTCCGAGCAAAGGATGAGGGGCCAGGTGCCCTTCCTTGCGAGGGTTCCTCGAGAACTCAGTGAGGACAGGAACATCCTCTACAGGCACATCTGGGGACCTGCCTCTGCTCAGGGCCCTGCCTTGGGGACTTGCTTGCCCCCATGGCCTTCAGAAGGTTCCGGGTGTGGGTCAGGAAGGGCCTTTTGCAACATCAAGGTCAGAGTTCCCAAACTCCTTCTAGCAGAGGAACCCTCTTGTCACCTGAAATCTTACTCAAACTCTGACACACACAACAGATGAAAGTCGGGCTGGAAGACAGAGTGGGAGAGGGGCCTGGGACCAGACCCACTGGGCCGCCCCCCCTCCTCCCGGCCTCTTCCACGGCTGCTCCAGAAAAGTGACTTGGCCGACTCCTCCCATTTCACAGAGGGCACATGAAGGCACAGACACAGAAGGACCTTTCCCAGGTCACCCAGCCCCCTGGGTTGCAAGACAAGGCCTCCTTTATCTGAGAATGTCGTTATTTCCAAGTCATTCCTGAGGGATACTTTCAGCCAAGCAGAATTCACGTCGACAGCAATTGTCTGTCAGCACCTGAAAAATGTGGTGCCACTTCCCGCTCGCCTCCATGGTTTCCGGCGAGAAATCGGCTGTCCTGTGAACTGGTGTCCCCTATAGAAAATCTGTCTTATTCTGCCCTCGAGAATTTTTCCCTCTATCTTTAGCTTTTTGAAGTTTAATGATGATGTGTTTTTGGAGTAGGTTACTTTGGATTTATCCTATTTGCGGTTCACCTGTTCTTGAACCTGTGGGTTTACGTGTTTTGTCAAATTTGGTCGGTTTTGAACCATTATTTCTCTGAATACTTTCTCAGACCCACTCACTTCTCTTCTTCTGAGACGCTCATGATACAGTTATTGTCCCACAGACCGAGGCTCTTTTCTCTCTGTTGTTCAGATTCTCTGATTCTCTCCTCTGCCATCCTCTCTGTTCTGTTGTTGAGCCCATCAAGAAAAACTTTTATTTTGGTTGTTTTCCTTTTCAGGTCTGTAACTTCCATTTGGTTATGTTTTCTATTTCTTTGGTGAGATTTCTCCCCCCCCCCCCCCCCCGGTTGTTTCAAAAGTATTTGTCATTGTTTGTTGAAGCATTGTAGTGATGGTTGCCTTGAAGATCCTTGTCAGGGACCTCCTAACATCTGATTTTTCTTGGTGCTGCGTCTGCTGTCTTTTCTCATTCAAATAGTTATCTTCATGGTTCTCAGTGTGAAGACTAATTCTCCCTTGTTCCTGGATATCTGGGAGACGCTGGGTTCTAGCTGAGTCTCCTAGTTAGCAGGCTGCCTCCTTGTTTAGGTTTACTAAGTAGGGCCTGGCTTATTATGGGTTGTGGTTCTGATGACAATTTAGCCTTCAGAATGCTTGTCCAATGCCCTCCTGGTCTGCTGAGCTCTCCTGATGTGGGAGTGAGCTGTACCTCCTGGGATGCTCTGTGCCCTGCGGTGGGTTGGAGACAGCGGCTGTGGATGGAGCATGTTCCCCTGGGCGCGCTCTCCAGGCGGAGGGGTGCCGACGGGCCTCCGGCTCAATATCTGCAGTGTGGCTGAAGGAGGAAAACACCCACCTGGTCGCCTTATGCCACTGCATGGGCCGTGACACATGGAGTCCTGCCTTTTTCAAGGCCCCGAGCCAGTCCACTTCTCCTGTCCCCCCTGCAGAGCTCTGTGGTCGTCTGCTGTATTGTTTCTGGATTTTTCCTTTGCACTTTATGGGGGAGAGCCAGGAGAGAGGGGTCTCCACTGTCACACCCCTGAGTCTGCTCTCTGAACCCATCGCAGTGGCCTCGCCGGGGGTGCTTGTGGATGGCTGGCCAGCAAGCCATTCTGCGGGCAGGTTCGTCAGCTTCAACAGACCCGTGAGTGGTTTTCCGTTCAGGGATGTGTGGATAACTGTAGCTGCGTGGCTCTGTGCGGGCGTGGGTCTCCTCTCTGGGCCTCCATGTCCCCATCTGAGACAGGAGGGACCTGGAACCCCTTTAGCCCCGAGTGACTTTGAACAGGAGGCCCCTTGGCGGGTCTGAGCTTCGGGCTTCAGAAGCAAGCAAGGGGGCGCTGAGGGATCCGGGGCCAGGCTGGTAGTCCTGACCCCACGCTGCCATGACACCCCACAGGGCCCAGGACAGAGGGTGCTGGGTGCCCACACAGGAGCCCTGAGCCCAGCTGCTTCCCGCCGGGAGGATGGGATCACCCCCTTTTCCAGATGAGGTGACTTCAAACACAGAGAAGTTTGCACTCATGTCCAAGGTCACACAGCAAGAGATAAGCTAAGCCTCAAACCCCACTGGACTGACACCCAGGTCAAGTGGATTCTGCCGACCCTCACGTGATCTCGCGGACACTGTTGCTGCCTGTGTTAGCTGAGGCCACCCCCATCCTCCCGCCAGCCCCAGAGCAGCGCCGAGTCCCACGAAGGGGAGACCCAGCCACGCACTGCCCGACAAGCACCCACCGAGAAGTTGCTACGTGTAAGTGGGGGCGGCACAGAAGCTGACGGGGGAGCAGGGCTTCCTGTGGGGAAGGGGTGTCTCGAGACGCCATGGCAGCGGTGGAGTAGGACAGAGGAGGCCCTGAGAGGTGTGACTCGAGACGCTGGCTCCTTACCATGAGCTCCCGAGGGACTCGTGCCTGCTTATGGCTTGTGCCCCTGCCCACAGCACCGGAGCCACACACGGTCTAGCCCCTGGGCCGGTGGGCAAGCCTGCTGGGCACAGTGGGGCACAGGGATTTTTGCTAAAAGTAGGGTCCCTGGCCAACCCCATGAATGGCAGCGGCTCTTGGGGTGCTGCACTCTTGCACCTGGGCTTTGGGGGTCTCTCCCAGTGAGGGGCCAGTAGTGGCTCTTCCTGGGCCAAGGTCTTCTCCTGACATCTGGGGCTCCCACCACCCTGGGGGCCAAACACAGGGAGGGGCCAGAGGGTACTCTGTCCATCCAGCTGGAGGCCAAGTCCTTGCACAAAGACCTGGCCGAGTCTCTCTGCAGGAGTCTCTCTCCAGCTAACCTCCTGGCCCCTGCTGGACACTGGGGCTGCTGGACCCAAGCCCTCCAGCTCCCCCAGGCCTTGCCCTCCCTGCGTGTGTGTGGCAAGAAGGCTGACAGCACTGCTGGCTGCCCCTCCCAGCTTTCTGGGCCCACTCCACTTGTATGGCGCTATCCATCCCTGGTGCCTTGCCCTGACCGCCTCTCTCCTTCCTCCAGTGTCCTGGTTCAGCAGAGATGGGGAAGGGAGGGGTCTTGGGAGCAAGGGGAAGGGAGGGGCCCGGGGAGTAGCTGGGCTGGAGCAAGATGGGGAAGGGAGGGGTCCGGGGAGTAGCTGGGCTGAATCAGGAGAAGGACCTCATCTGGGCCTTAGGCCCTGTTGAGAAAATAACTGACCTCAGGAACACGTTTTATCAAGCACACGGTGGGAAAGTCCAGGGACTCAGGCCACCCCCTGCCATGAGCCCAGGGCCATCTGGGACTCTATCTCCAGGCCAGTCCTCCTCTGCACTCCTAGCCCGTCAGCCCACCCCTAGCAGGCGCCACAGCAGGAAGAGCCCACCTTGCTCGCCCTGACCTCTGCATAAAGTGCCTCTGCCCGCATCATCCTGCCCCCACCCCACCCTCCTCCCTGCTCACACGTGGTCCCGCCATCCAGACCGTCCAGGGGCCCATGTTGCTTATCTGGGCTCCCCAATCCCTTTCACTCTGGCCCAGCAGCCTCATCTGACCACCCAGAGGGGCACGGGGGAACCTCAAGAGAGGAAGGACCTGAAGGTTAGGAAGGTGGGACCCCGAGCAGCGCAGGCCCACCCACAGGGTCCAGGCCAGAGGGGGGCCATCACCTCAGTTCCTCTGGGGGCCCTGCATCTCCTCTTATAAGTGGCAAGACCCGTTTCTTATAACAAAACATCAGTGCCACCCCTTCCCCGTGCAGCACCCAGCTCATCAATACAGCCTATGGCATGCAGTCGGAGCACGCGTGTGCGTGGCAAGAAGGCAAACACACAGCTGTCCACCATGAATGTGCAGAGGAGGCCCCACTGCTCAGGAGAGGGCTGACACTCTGGTTTGTCACTGCTGCTCAATGGGCTTCTCACTGATGGGGAATGGGGACCGGGCCCTGCGCACCACCTCGGCGCTGCCTAGCACCAGGTCCAGCAGATAGTAGGCGCTCAATAAATGCGTGGTGGACGGATGGATGATGACTGAATGATGATTCAATCCCAGGGGAGATGTGTTGATGGCGTCACAGGTGGGGATGAGGTTGTGACCGGCCCCCAGGAGCCCAAGGAGGACCCTGGTGGGTGGCGGGATGCACGTATGCTTGCTCTCGCCAGCGTCTCTGGCTCTCCGGGCTCCCTGCACGCTTCTCCAGGCAGGGGCTGCTCTCGTCCCCTCAGTCTCCCCCTTGGCGCCCCGCACAGCGTCTGGCACAGAGTGGGTGCTCAATAAATACCCGTTGAATGTAACGCATCTCAATTCAACAAACATTTATTGAGCGCCCACTGTGTTGCATGTCACAGGCCTACCCTCCTTGGGCGCGCTGCAGATGAAAGCGACCGGGGTGCAGGCGGGCGGCCCTGCTCTGTGCAAATGCTTTGCTTAGTAACAGTGGTTTGCCAGTGGAACTGGTGTTGATGAACTCACATTTGGGGGCTCAAAGGAACCCCGAGAAGAGGTGGAGACCCCTCTGTGCGTGCTGCCCATCTGCCCACATTTCTCCAGAGGCTGGCGGGGAGCAAGGCACGCCAGTAGCCAGGCCCTCGTTGCTACCTTCCTGCACGCGGGAGGCGAGGCAGAGTCACCAGGACAGAGGTCAAGTCACAGCTGCAAAGGCTGGCACCGTGGCCTCCACTCAGAGCACAGGGCGCCAGAGCGCCAGCCGGAGGCGAGCGGACGACACAGTCACGGCACTGTCACCATAAGCGAGCATCAGCGTGGCGGGTGGACACATTCACACACACACACACTCACACACACACATACACACTCTCACACACACATACACACTCTCACACACACATACACACTCTCACACACACACACACTCACACATACTCATACACACACACACAAACTCACACACTCACATACACACACTCACATACACTCACATATACACTCACACACACACACTCACACACACACACATACACACTCACACTCACACATGCACACTCACACACACACACTCACACATACACACTCTCATACACACATGCACACTCACACACACACACTCACACACACACTCACACACACTCATACACACACATTCACACACCGTGCATTTTCTGGAGGAAGCGCCCCATTAGACCATTGGCTCGGGCCAGGCAGTCGGCTCCTGCGGGCCAGGGCACCTGCATGGGAAGCGACTGCATTCCACCTGTGGCTGCATGTGCAGGTGTGACGAGGCGGCCAGGGGCGGAGGGGACAGACAAGTCCTGCAGGTGTGTGACAGGCCACTCAAAACAGCTGGCACAGCCTCGGGCCTCGCGGGGCCCGCCACCTGTGGGACACCGCGAACAGCCCTGCCCCGCGCCGTGGCACGTACAGATGGGGAAGCAAGCCCGGGCCAACCTGACCCGCCCCTCCTCCTCCCTGCTCGCACCAGGATCTGGGCTCCTCAATCCCGTTCACTCTGGCCCGGCAGCCTCCTCTGACCACCAGGGGGCACGTGGGAACCGCAAAGGAGAGGAAGGACCTGAAGGTTAGGACGGTGGGACCCTGAGCAGCGCAGGCCTACCCACAGGGTCCAGCGACACAGGACGGTGTCCTCCCCCCAGCCTGAGCCACGGGCATAAGAGGAAACCCCTGGGGGAAGCAGCTGACCTCCCACAAGGAGAGTGGGGATGGGCATGCCAGCAGCCTCGCAGAGGAGGGCCCCTACCACCCAGCCAGGGGAGGGCTGGAGCGGAGAAGACCGCCCACACCCCCAGTTTCCTGCGGGCTCTGGACCCGGGGCTGGTGCCACGCTGTCCCCGGGGCAGGGGCTGCCATGGGGCTACTGAGCGGGGGTGGTAGGGGCTCCCCACCTTCCCGACACAACTGTCAGGAAAATGCTCGAAGCAGAAAGGCCCACTGTCTACGCCGACGGCCCAGGGCCTGTGTGCAAGTCCTGCACCCTTGGGGCCCTGGGTGCCGGGAGCAGGGAGGGAGTCTGCCTGTGGCTCTCCTGTGACCAGCCCTGCACCCCGCAACCTGCCTGCAGGGGGGGCGGGCAGCTGCCGTACCCCTTCCAGACCTGCTCCAGGACAAGTACGCCGCCTCCCGGGACAAGTCCCTCGGGGGAGATTTTGGGGGTGACCTGCCCATGGTGACATTAGCCTTGTGCACCGGCTGCACCCCAGGAGGGACGGACTGTGGGGGTGCTAAGACTCCTACTTACAAATCCACACAAAACAATGGCCCTTCTTTCGTTTGAGTTTTTCTTTAACAATGCCATAATGTCCAAGCCCCTCCCGCTCTCCCACAGATCACTCCAGCATGAGGATGAGGGCGAGGATGCGGTGGTCTTTTTGCTGAGCACCTACTATGCGCCGGCTGTGCACACCTATCACCTCCTTCAGGGCTCAAACACCAGCCAGGCACACAGTGGGACTGATGCCCAGCGATAGGCGAAATGCCACGCCACGAGGCCGGTCATGGTGAGTGGGGACTTGAACCCAGGACTGTCTCAGGCAAAGCCGGCATCTCTCCTCCGTGTTCTCGCGCCCACACCCGTCCCTGCTCGGCCTCTGCTCCCCGCTAAGGCTCGAGCTGGCCCCAGGAAACCACATCCGCCCCCGGGACCCAGAGACCACGCCGGGTCCCCCGAGAGCCCCCTCTATGGCGGCACACAGCCCCTGGGAGTGAGGCCCTCGGGAGTGTCCTGCATCTGCAGACGGATCCGACTCAGGCTTCACGCTGTCACCTTGCCGCCCGCACTCCCTGGGGACCCCAAGCCCCGGCTCCCGGTCCCTGGCTCAGGACAAGCGTGGGTCCGGGACAGGCCGCATCCGCTCCGAGTCTGGCCCCGCTGCCTGGACCGTGCGCGTCTGCTCAGGAGGGAAACGGCCCCGCATCCAGCCTGGAGCCCGGGGCCTTCCCTGCGCGGCTCCCCGCCCGCTTGTGGCTCCGGCTTCGAGGGAAGGGCAAGCATGAAGGGCCTGCTCCGCGCGTCGCCCGTGGGTTGGCACCTGTGCTTTTCTAAGGAGCAAGGCTTCCACCTGGGGGAGCGGCCTGCAGTGTGGGGGCCCCTCTGCCGCGAGGTGTTTCGGGCCACAGGATGGCGCCTCGCTCAGAAGAACCACTCACGTGAGTAAAAGCCGTCCCCCGGGCCCGTCTGGAGAGGGTCTCTGTCGCCCCCGCTGCTGAGGGACAGAGGCTGGCTGTCTCGGTCGGGCGAGTTGGTCCTCGTGTCCGCGTCCCCCTGGAGAATCAGCCAGCTGCCCTTCTGCTGGGAAACACAAGAGGCGTGATCTCCAGGCCATCCGCAATGGCTCCGCCCGCTTCACAGATGGGGAAACTGAGGCCCAGGGAGATCCGGGGCCCAAATGGCTTCACGCGGGGGAGCCGGCCGGGGGCTCTTTCCACACACACCTCCCTCCTGAAGGATGAGAAGGGGCTGCAGCTCCCGGGGCAGGAAGGCCCAGCCCCGCCCGCAGGCCGCTGGCGATGAAAGCCCGTGGGGACACATCCCTTCCCCTGTCCCCTCCCCCCCTCCTCGTGCATCGCCTCGGGCTGGCGTGGCCCCCAAGCCCAAGGGGTCTCCTCTGGCCTCTTACTGAAAACACCTGCCACGCCCGTTCTAGAACAATCCTCTCCTGTGCCCGAGAGCGCCCTGCGGCTCACTCTCCTCTCGTTTCAGACCGGCCAGCCACAGAGCCGTAAGCAGGCCGCCTGGGCACAGGATGGGACCCGGGAGGGGCTGGGCCGCCCCGTAGGTCAGAGGAGGCAGCAGGGAGGAGCCCACCGGCGCTGGGATTTGGTGCCTGTTTCACGGACGGGAGGGACCCCTCAGGAGCATCCAAGGGGAGGAGCCGAGGCTGCAGCTAGAGGCACCCACAGGCCCGAGCTCTCCTGCACAAGCCGCTGGGACCAGCCGCCGCATTACCTTCCTGCCGTCCTGGTCGGAACCCCCGTCCTCCCCATCCAGGCGCCGCGAAGCTGGAAGGGAAAGCCGTCCGTCAGGACACGCCCTTTATTCTGGCTCCCAGGCCCCAGTTAGGCTCAAAAATTGGAAATAATCATGCCGGGCCTGTGTGGCTCAGGGGGTGAGCAGTGACCTATGAACCAGGAGGTCAGGGTTCGATTCCCGGTCAGGGCACAGGCCCGGGTTGCGGGCTCGATCCCCAGTGTGGGATGCGCAGGAGGCAGCCAGGCAATGATTCTTTCTCATCGTCGATGTTTCTGTCTCTCTCCCTCTCCCTTCCTCTCTGAAATCAGTAAAGATGTATTTTTTAAAATGGGAAATAAAGACGAGGCCCCAGTGGGGGCCTCTGGAGGGCGGAGGTGCCAGTGAGCTGGAGGGGCTGGGCAGGAGCGCTGGGCGGCCGTGTGCCCGTGCATCCCAGGCCTTAACACCCAGAGCAGGTGGGTGAAGTGACGCCTCATTAAAATCCAGCCGAGCCCCCGGGGTGCAGCGACGGGACATTGTGAAGAACACTTCCTCCTACCAGGGTTTAACTTCAAACTAAGGAGGTCTCAGCCGTCCAGCCTGCCCTGAGCCCACTCAGCCGGGTGCCCCACGGGCATCGCTGCCTGTCACCACACAACCCACTTCACAGACCGGAGGACTGAGGCTCAGAGCGATGTCCCGCCTTCCTCAAGGTCGTGGGTCAGCGGGTAGCAGAGGCTGCCCTTTGAACCCAGGCGGCCTGACTCCTGGTCCTTCCTCTGACCCGCCCCCCTCACCTCTGGCCACCCCCAAATCACTGGAAACGGTCCACGAAGGGCAACGACAAGGTAGAAGGTATACCCAGGGACGTGGAGTGGAGCCGAGTCACGGCCGTGTTCTCCCCGGCCCCAGAGCAGTGCCCCCAGCTGGATGGCGTGCTCTCCTACCAAGTCTGACCCGGGAAGGCAGCGCCCACTTCAGTCTGTACAGACCCACCCCGAGCACCCGAACTGACATGCCGACCCCAAGCACAGAGCAACGAAAGGAGGACCCTGGGCCTCCCATTTGCCACAGAGACCGCGTGGCAAGGACGCGCGGGGGCCCTTGCCTGCCGCCTGTGGGGGGCCCGGGCCTGGTTGCCTATTGGGGCGCCCTGCCCCACACACCATCAAGGACAAGGCCGACATCAGGCCCGAGAGCTGGGAGCCTGGGGACTGGCCTCCAGGACCTCAATGAGGCAAGGCCACAGCTGAGGCCCGTCCGGCCTCGCGGCGCTTCCTCCCTCCCCCGCCGCCTCCTCTCCTTCAGCGAGAGACGCGTTCCACCATGAAAATCCAAAACCCGCCTCCCACTCGCAGAGGCAAGTTAACGGGGAGCCTGCACAGAGAGCGGGGTGATGGGGGACTTGGGGGCAGGGCCAGGGGGGACGCGTGCCCATGCTGGCTCTCCTGTTGCCCAGACAACGGCCTTGGGGAGGGGACTCTGGAGCGTCTGCCATCCATCGGCGGGGCTCGTGGCGGCTGCCAGCAGCCCCAGGACCACTAGGCCAGTGGTGATTTGAGGGCGGAGACACTGCCCCGTCCAGCCCGCAGAGGCCCCGATGGACCGACACAGGGGCCATTTGCAAGCGCAAAAACCCGAGGCCCTTTGCTATGTGGAATCCGGAGTTGAGGCCAGGGCCACGGGCCACCCTGGGTCCGAGGACTTCCCACAGCAGCTGGGGCAGGGCTTCCCGACGCAGGGTTCACGGACAACCCCGCGGTCTGGCAGGAGCATCCGCCAAGATTTACACGTTCCTTCTGCAACACGCCAGCTCCTGGCCAACCACAGCCTTCGCAGGGCCCGTCTGCAGCCGCACAGCTCACGCCAGGCCCCGGAGAAAGGCGGCCTGGGCGGGAGACACGGGACCTCCCAGCGCTTGGCACTGTTTGCAGCTGCTCCCTACAGCTCTGAGCCTCAGTTTCCTGATCTGTAAAGTGGGCGGATGACGCCCACTCCTCTGAGCTGTGAGGACGCCAATGTGCACGCTGTGGCCTGGGGGGAGTTCAGGTCTGAAGACCTGGGAATAGTCAAGAGGCCGATGTTGGGGCGGATTTTCGGCTGCTGTTTCAGTGTCATGAGAGGACCGGCCCCCGGAGGACAGGGCCCCGGGTCAGGTGCCTTTCCTGCCGCACCTGGCGGCTCCTCGGAGCCTGGAAGGCATTGGCCGCGGGAAAGGCTGACGACCCCTGGGTGTCTCCGGGAACCTGTGTTGGTGGCACCTCATGACCGCGGGGTTTCTAACTTCCTTCCTGGATGTGGAGCCTGCCTTCCCCTTTTCCATCCCAGGAGGCCCCCCAAACCACAGCGAGACTCAACCCCACCGCCCAGGAGCCCTAGGGGCACACAAGACCTGATTCATTCCTGCTTTAAAGCAGGGGCCACAGAAACAGTCATGACATGGGGCCCCCTTTGCTGTCTGGTATGGGGGAGGCTCCGAGAGGCAGGAGGGCCATCCCCACCCCCCAATACTGGGCAGCTGGTGGTGATGAGACAATGTCCACCTCCTGGGAAACCGGGGAGGCGTCCTTCTACCTCCTACAATTTTAGAGAGAGAGGAGGGAGAGGAAGGGAGAGAGAAACATCGATCGGCTGCTTCCTGTGCACCCCCTACTGGGGATCAAGCCCGCAACCCAGGCATGTGCCCTGACTGGGAATCAACCAGGTGATCTTTCAGTGCACAGGGCAATGCCCCACCCACTGGACCACACTGGCCAGGGCCTCTTGTATCACTTTAAACCAGTGGTTCTCAACCTTCTGGCCCTTTAAATACAGTTCCTCATGTTGTGACCCAACCATAGAATTATTTTAGTTGCTACTTCATCACTGTAATGTTGCTACTGTGATGAATCGTCATGTAAATATCTGACATGCAGGATGGTCTTAGGCGACCCCTGTGAAAGGGTCGTTCGACCGCCAAAGGGGTCGCGACCCACAGGTTGAGAACTGCTGCTTTAAACCGTCTAAACACCGGGCCCCGCTTCACGGCCCTGGGGGGCTGGAACACCAAGCCCTGCTCTCTGCTAAGATTCAGAGCAGCCTCACTTAAACCTCCTCGAGGCTGGAGAGCGAGGGAGGTGGCCATGAACCCCCATCCAGAGGGGCCTCTGAGGGGTGTGGGCTCCGGTGACGGGCTGTGCTCTGCATCGAGGCCGCCCCACAACGTGCCTGCAAGGGACTGGCGTTTGGGGAAACATCAGGAATGTCCCCGTGGCGCCTGAGCTCTGAGCTCTGGGCGTGTACCGGCTGGGTGGCCTGTCCTACGGCCGCCCCTGCTGCCGCTCTGCTGCTGCCCGCACTGGGGCGGGAGCTCCCCGTTTAAAACGCCCCAGTCATTTCCTTTTGCTTCCTTTCTTCTCTTTCTTATTCTTTTACTTTTAAAAAGCCATTAAATCGTAGCCAAATAGAGTTGGAACTGCTGTAGTTACAAGAAAATACTGCGGGCCTCCATGCTGTCAAAAGCGGCCTAGAGGGCCAGGGGTCAGAGGTCAGGGGGCAGGCAGACTGGGTGTGGACCTCAGCTTGGCCACTGACTGGTCACTCCACCACCTGACCTCAGAGTCAGCAGGAAACGAGCTGGCGTGCCGAGGGCGCACGTGCCCTGACACGTCCAGTGGCAGCCTCGTGAGGGCTGGTCCTCTCGTCCCCACCTTCGTCCCCCCGCCCGACGGGCCTGGCCGCCCGCTGGCCGGAGGAGGAAGGCCAGAGCGCCAGGAGAGGGTGATGCGGAGTTAAGAAAAGCTTGGCATGAGCTGGGACTGGAGAGCTGAAAATCAGCGACATCGATGAGAAAGCCTAAATCTGGAGCTCGCCGAGTGTGTTATGCGAGATGAACTCAAGGCCCGCCCCAAAGCGTCGTCACCGCCGTCTGTTTCAGGAGTTCGAGGGCTCCCCCAGCCCGAGTCGCGCTCCTCCGTCCCCCAGAGGCGGCTGGCTGGTCCGTTTGCTGAGACTGGGGGGAGGGGGATTACATGCCCACATGCATGGAGTCACACGCATGCTTGCATGCTCACACACACGCCTCTGACAGGGCACATGCCATGCCAGCGGGGTGGGGAAGCCGTGTCACATTCCAACACCTGCCACGGGTTGGCGCTCAACGGCATGCCACCGCCCCGCCGGGCACGGGCTCAACCGGGCACGCGGGTGAGGCCAGTCTGCAGCAACCACGTGCGGGCCCTATGTACGTCCGAGTATGTGCTGCACGCCATTTAGTTCACGAAGGAGTCAGCAAGCCCCAAATGGAACGTGCCGAGGAATCCGGCCATTGCTCAGGGTTCAGGCAAATGGGAGTTCACATGCCATTGGAGGGGAGAGGCATTTATCTCCGGGTGAACAGTGACCCCAGAGGATCCCTGCTGGCCGCCCCCTCCGACCCCCGGTGCAGCTCTGTCTCAGGTCTGGCCGGGCCACAGCCACCCAGCCACGCCGTGACCTCGCCGACTGCCTCTCCCCTCCGCACCGTGCGGAGGAGCCTCTGCGGCTAGTGCGGGCCAGGCGAGCACCCCGCTGCGTGCAGGACGAGGCCTCGGCGGCCGGACGGAGGCCGGCGCGTCCTTCAGCTGGGCCTCAGTTTCCCCACTCATCCCCGCGGGAGCCCGTCCCTCTCAGACCCTCGGGAAGATCTGGGCTCTCCGCGCCCTGGCTGGGAGGCAGCGGGAAAGGCCACCCATCGCCCTGGAAAGCAGGCTTTTCACTCTCTCTCTTCCTGTCTTGGGAAGAGGCCGAGACCCCCCAGCACAGGGCGCCTGCGTCGAGGACAGCAAGCCGCCCGCGTCTGCCCCGGCCCCTGACCTGCCAGCGAGCAAGGAGCACGCGTGTGCCATCCCCCGGGAGCGTCCAGCCAGGGGTCCGTGTGGACGTGCTGTTTTCCGGCTGCATCTGAGCAAGACCCTCCGGTGTGGGGATTCCTCTGCCCGTCTCCTAGCAACGTGGTAACACCACACCCCCACGGCGTCCTCACTGGCAGCCCGTGGAGGGCAGGGTGGAGGGGCCCGTCCCATTTTGCAGATGAGGAAACCGGCTCATGGAGGTGATGCCCCAAATCACCCAGAAATTCGTGCAGACGGGGACACCGTGAGCCTCCGGCCTCCTGCCTCCTGTGCCATGTCTCGGCCACCGCTCCCTGCGCACCTGCTCCGCAGGCTCAGGCGGACTGGGCCTGGGTGACCACCCGTGAGGAGGCTGGGGGCCCGAGACCCTCTCTCCACTCGGCTTCTCAGCCCCGATCTGCTGATGCAAGCAGCTCCTCGCTGGAGGCTCGGCGTTCAACCTCTGGCCAGCAATTCCCACCACTCAGGGCCTCATTCCCACGCGGGGATGACCGACCGACTCGGTTTGTCCTGTTTCCCGCAGACGGGCTGGCTCGTGCTGTGACCCGAGACACCTGTCCCTCCCTCCTCGGCTGCGGTCAGCCTGGCTGCTTCTCTCCACGCAGCAAACTCCAGCCACCGGAGCCAGTTCTCAGCACAACGCCCACCCACCCAGCCCGGCACAACGCCCCCCAGCCCAGCCGTGAGCGTCAGCCTCGGGTTTCTGCCACACAGGGTGCCCTGATCAGACCCGCCTTCCTCGGCCTCCATGCGGAGGCCTGCCCTGGGCCTGAGCGAATGTGCACTAAATATTCAGGCTCAGGGCGCTGCAGGGGGGCATCAGGCATCACACAGCCCGAGCGAGGGCTCGGAGCGGGGGCAGGCATGCGGGGGCGCACAGCGAGGAGGCACGGTACCGTGCTGCTTGTAGATGGGCGGCTTCCTGTAAATGTTATCTTTGACGCCAGTGTCTGGGAAGAAGACAGACAGAAAGGAGAGAGAGCAGGTCAGCAAGCGAGTGGATGGCCGGTCAGCGCTCCCCAGGCACCCGGATCCGGGGTCTCCAGAAAGATCGGGGGCCCGCCCTCGGCAGACACCAGGCCCACCGCCTCAGACCAAGCCTCAGTCAGCCCCGGTGCCAGCCCCGGGGGGAGGGGCAGAGGCGCCCCGCCAGCCCAGACAGCCCTTCGCTCCAGCCCACTCCCCGGGGGCACAGTGTCTCCCTGGTGTTTGTGGGCCTTTGGAGACAGGAAGTGGGGGGATGTGCAAACCCACTTGCTGATTTTTTAAGCATCTTAGGACTGGGGGGGTTGGGGGGGCTGGGGGAACCGAGAGGAATCCCCCCACACCCGCTGGGTGAGACGGGCCGCGTCAGTGCCTACCTGGGACGTGGAAGTGGCGCGGAGCCTGCTGGTAGGTGGCGGGCGGCCTGCTGTCGGACAGCACCGAGAGGCTGGGGGTGCTGCGGCCACTTTCACTGCCTCCAGGCCGAAGCGCAGACAGCGGAGAGCAGGGGGAGCAGAGCAGAGCATTTCAAGCGAGAAAGCTTATTCGGTGACCCCGTCTCCCCTGCCTGTGGGCCCCAGCCCCTGCCCGGCATTTCCACACGGGCCCATGACTTGTTAATCCAACCTCACGCCCACCCTCCTCCGGGCCCCGTGGCGAAGGCACAGCGGCTCCGAGGGCTGAGCGCCATGGCTCCTGGTGCCCGGGAGGGTGGCCTGGCCGCCTCGGCAGAGCCCCTCCCCTTGGGGGGCATGGCGGTCTCCTTGGGGAGCACGCGGTCTACGGCTCTGGGCGCTGGTATTGGCATCGGCCCAGGCCCCTTCCTATCTGTTTGAAACGGTGCTGCCCGCTTTGGAGAGGCCACATGGGCATCCACACGGAGTTCCAGCGCTCGCCCTCATCACCGTCGGTCCGCAAAGCCGCGGTGGAAATTCACCAGCCACGGGGAGCGAGACCGCATGGGCATCAGCAGCCACCACCGCCCCCCGCCCCCCGCCCCAAGGCGAGCGTGTGGCAAATTAAAGGGAAAGAACCCGGTCCAGGCTCCGGTTCCTCGTCCCACCCGGATGTGCCACTGCTGTTTGGCGAACAAGGTTGGATTATCAAGTCACAGCGAGGACGGCCCTGGTCCCCAGGTGCGCCCCCTCCCACCCGTGTTTAAGGAACAACGTGACAGACAGAACGCAATGGCATGGACCTGGGAGGACCAGTGAGGCGCGGCGCCTCCCCTCCCGTGGCCTCAGGGAACCCCGCTCGCTCGATGACAGCTCGGCCAAGGGCAGGGCCACGTGCCACCCCAAACATCCCGTGGAGCTGCAGCTGCTCACGCCACAGGGCCCAGGGTGATGAGGCCGCATCGAACAGCGGGCGGCCCTGTGCTGCGGGGAGGCGGCTGGCGGGGACGCATGCTGGCTGCCGGGGAGGCGCCGGCTCAGAGAGCTCTCGCCTGGGTGGGTGTGCAGGGCCTGGGGCTCCCAGGGTGAGTGGAGCTCAGCTCCAGCAGCCGCACCAGGGCCCCCACCAGGCCGAGGCCACAGAGGGGCTGCGGGGCACTTCGAGCATCTTCCTGTACCTGGGCCCCATGTCACCTGTCGGCCTTGATAGGACATCAGGGAGGCAGCTGCCCAGCCCCTCCTGGGGGGAGCCCTGCCTGACCCTGGCGGCCATACCTCAGCGCCGTGTGGAGCCGCCCTGAGCTTCCTGCCTACGCACCACCCCAGGGAGCAAGGGCTCCCAGGCCACCCTACAAGTGTGGCTGTGACTCAATTGCACCAAGCCCGCCCGCTCGGTGCCAGAACAGTGAGCGCGGCTCAGCCGGCGCCATGCCCGAGCGGCGGGCTCCTGGCAGGGCCCTGAACCGGGAGGCCTCACAGGGCTCGTTCCCTCTGCCTCGAACCCATGGCCTCACCCCCATCCCGCCCAGGCCACAGCCTCACAGGTCACAGGCCTCCGGTCCCCAGCGCCCCAGCCCATGTGCAGCGTCCTCCCAGGCCACAAGCAGGATCTGTGTGCACATTTCCTTAAGGAGTCCCCAGCTCCACCCGGCGCTCAGGGGGCCCAGGCCCAGGGGCAGCTGGGACACAGCCATGGTGGCCCCGGGACCACTACACCCCCTCACCTCCGCCCTCAGGGCTTCCACACCAGCCACCACCCCTCGAGACCTCGGTCCCAGACCGTGATGCCTCTGCTCACACCCTTCCCTCCCGGCGTCCCCTCGCCCCCCCCTCAGGCCCGCCTGGAACCCCTTTCCAACCCTCCCCACTTGTCCAGACGCTTCCTGGTCAGGCTCAGGGGCACCGCCTCCCTTCGCCGCCCGCTCACTGCAAGGTCCGCGGTAATAAAAGGCGCCGCTAGCATCGGCCCCACACGAGGCCACGTGCAGCGCGGGGCCACGTCAGCTGTCAGAACGTCCTGACAGCCTGTGGGGCGCGCCCCCCCCCCCCCCCCCCGTGGCCACCTCCGCAGGAGGGACAGGGCTGAGGGGCCCGGGAGGCTCCGGTTCCGGCTCCGGGACCCGCTTCCTCCGGGCCTTGGCGGAAAATCCCAAGCTGAGTCACCGTGGACGGAGGGAACCAGAGGAGCCGCTGTGCTGCCGAGGAGAAGGCACACAGGTCCCTCCTGGCGAGGCTCTGGCTCCCGAGGGAGGTGGCCCGGGACCGAGGCGGCTCTGATGTCTGCGGAGGCTCATCCTTCAGCGAGAAGGAAAAGGCGCCGGACGGGGTGAGGGTGGGGGCGGGGGCGGTGCTTGCTAGCGATGGGGAGCCCTGGCCGTTGAAAAGCCGCCTTCTTTTACTTCAAGCAAAGGGCTCATGTCACGGGCATCGCGGCAACGGGGTTCCACAAACGCCACATTGACATGGGCCTCACCCGTTTTTATCTGAAGATCTTTCCTGGCCCAGGATCCCCCGGACACACGTCCTGTCCAGCCGTCCCTCTCCTGGGCCCTCTGGACCTCGGCACGTTCTCAGATTCTCCTTGTCCTTCACGACCGGCTCTGCGTGGGCCAGGGGCTCTGCCAAAGGCCCCGTGGTGGATTCCTGATGTTTTCCTCAGACTAGACGGAGGGCATGGTTCTTGGGAGGAAGACCACAGAGGTGCCCTCTCACCCCATCGGGTCCAGGGCACCTGCTGTCACATGACCCATCACGTGATGCTGACCCAGGTTCCCTGGCCGAGGTCAGGGTGGTGCCAGGTTTCTCCACAGGACGGTTCCTCTCCTCGCCCTGCCACACCGGCCCCCAAGGGACCCGTCACAAAATGCACCATTTCCAGCTTGGCCACTTTTCAAGAGTTAGTGGGTCCAGCAGGGACCACGGTGGCAGGATCGGTGCTCCAGGAGGATGTGGTCCCCAGGACCAGGGGCTCTCTTCCCAGCAGACCCGATGAGGCCACAGGAAGCCAGTGATGGTGATGATATAAGAGAAGCAAGGAGCCTGTCTGGTGACCGTCAGGTGAGAGTGTAAACCTGCAGAGCCTGCCTCCTCCTGGTCCCCTGGGGACAGAAGGCAGGACAGCACGGCTGCTTCTGCTCCTGCTGAGTCTGTGGTGTATGAGTCAGATAGGGCTGCGTAACAAACACCATGGACGGAGCGGCTCAGATAACAGACATTTCTTCCTCCCAGTTCTGGAGGCTGGAAGTCAGCAGCAGGCTTGTTTTCTGGTGTGAGCTCCCCTCCTGGCTTGTCGACAGTCCCTGTCTCCACGTGGCTGCTCCTCAGCGCCCACAGAGTGGCTGAGAGGTCTTGTGGCCTTTCCTCTGCTTACAAGACCACCAATCCCACGGGTCTGGGGCCCTCGTGTGACCCTAATAACCTCCTAAATACCCTTCTCTGAAGGCAGTCACATGGGTGGTTAGGGCTTCAACATATGGATTCTGGGGGGGACACAATTCAGTCCATAGCATGTGGGCGAAGAAGAGCTGGGCCATGTTCCCAGCGGGACGGACACACATGCTTCCGTGCAGGGTCTGGCCCTGGGAAGAGGCAGGAGTGGGAGCCATGCAGGGTGTGCGTCCGCCCCAGGCCACCCTGTGCTCTGACTGTGGACACGTCCCTGCCCCCTTCAGCCTCAGCCTTTGGGCCTGGTACCTGCTGCTGGCATCCCTGCGTCCATGGAGTGACAGGTGGGGACAGAATGAGATGATGTAGGTCCGAGGGCAGCGGTGGAGAGGCCCTAATCTCTGCCCGCAGCTCTCCACCCCTCTCCTCACCTCACTGCTCATCCTTCACACCACGAGGTGCCTACACTTCCCCCCCAGGAACATTCACACACGAACGGAAACGGAGCTGGACTCACGAGACACAGCGAGGAGCACAGGCATGAGACACAGGGCTCGGGAAGCCATGCGGCGACACGGACACGACACACACGTGTGGCAAGCGCCCTGGGGCGCCTGCAGCACTGCGCGCCTTACCTCGGAAGTAGGGGATGTAATGGTGCCTGAACACGGACGTAGGGCTTGGGTGTTGGGACAGGGACAGGCAGCTACTGGTACCAACACTCACAGTACCAGCTGCAGGGCAACAGAGAGCAAGTCAGTCCGCCTGGCCGGGGCCGCAGAGCTGCACCAGCCCTAGGCCCACCTGCCAGGAACATGCTTCCTCTCGCCAAGGAGGCAGACCTTGGGGAGGGGAGTCGCCAGAGGTGCCCTCCACCAGTCTGCTCCGGGCTGGAGTGCGGAGGCCCCGCGCTCTGGGGACAGGAGCCGCTGGGCCCCTGTGCCCTGCCCGTTCCCCTCCTGGGGCCCCTTGTGATCAAGGACGCTGGTGGAGGGCAGCTGGATAGACTGCCCCCCGACAATCACAGGGCCTCAATAGCCGAGATTCAGGTCTTGGCTCTCTGGGCTTCCCACCCCGCTGGGAACAGTCCACAAACCCAGGTGACCCACATATAGCAGTCAGGGGTCAGCAGAGGGCCCTTCACTCCCTGACTCGCGTGCTTGCCTGTTGAGTCGCTCTCAACTCACTGATTCACTCCCTCCCTCAATCATTCCCTCACTCATTCATTCTTCATTCCCTCCCTCATTCATTCTTTCATTCACTCCCTCACTCAGGCATTCATTCATTCATTCCCTCATTCATTCACTTACCCATTCACTCAGTCACTCACTCATTCCCTCACTCACTCACTCAGTCCCTCACTCCTCACTCACTCATTCCCTCACTCCTCACTCACTCATTCCCTCACTCACTCACTCACTCATTCCCTCACTCACTCACTCACTCATTCCCTCACTCCTCACTCACTCACTTACTCATTCCCTCACTCACTCACTCACTCACTCATTCCCTCACTCACTCACTCACTCAGTCCCTCACTCATTCACTCACTCACTTACTCATTCCCTCACTCACTCACTCACTCATTCCCTCACTCCTCACTCACTCACTCATTCCCTCACTCCTCACTCACTCACTCACTCATTCCCTCACTCACTCACTCACTCATTCCCTCACTCACTCACTCACTCATTCCCTCACTCACTCACTCACTCATTCCTCACTCACTCACTCACTCATTCCCTCACTCCTCACTCACACAGTCCCTCACTCATTCCCTCACTCACTCACTCACTCACTCATTCCCTCACTCACTCACTCACTCATTCCCTCACTCCTCACTCCCTCACTCACTCATTCCCTCACTCACTCACTCACTCAT